TGGCCCGCTGAAGCTGCTCAAGCGGGTGAGGTTCAGAGAGGGTCAGTAACTGGCCTTGGGCACATAGCCTCCCCACTGGAAGAAGCAGAGATCACCTTTGAGCTGCATCACTTGACCTTGTGAGGCTAATCCCCATTGTCTGTCACCTTGTATGTTTTAGGCTAGGTTTTTTTTTTTTACTTTGATGACAACATGACATGTCACTGTATTGGTTCTCTCATGTGGGATTTGCCTATGGCAGCCAGTGTTTAGTTTTTTTAGACATGTATTTGTTTTTATTTATTTGAAAGAGAAAGAGATCTTCCATCTGCTGGCTTCACTCCCCAGATGGCTGCAACAGCCAGGGCTGGGCCAGGCCAAAGCCAGGAGCCAGGAACTCCATCCATGTCTCAAATGTGGGCCACGGGGACTCAACTGTTTGAGCCATTATCTGTTGGTGCACATTAGCAATAAGCTGGATTGGAACCAGAGGCGAGACTGAACCAGGCACTCCCATATGAGATGCAAGTGGCCCAACACTCACCCAACACAGTGTCACTGGCCCGGCCCCGCCCCCACCCCCACCCCCCATGTGCTGAGCTCTTGTGAGCTGGGCGCTGCCGTGTTTCCTTCATTGTTGGAGCGCCTCTTGGGTTTCAGAAATGCTGTATCAGCAGCAGGTGGAGGGATTGTCTGCAAAAGACCCTTCCCAGGAGAAAAATATTTTTTTTGAAAGATTATTTATTTATTTGAAAGGTATAGTTAGAGGCAGAGAGAGAGAGAGAGAGATTCTTCTGTCCACTGATTCACTCCCCAGTTGGCCACAACGGCTGGAGCTGGGCCAATCTGAAGCCAGGAGCCAGGAGCTTCTGAGTCTCCCACGCAGGTGCAGGGGCCCAAGCACTTGGGCATCTTCCACTGCTTTTCCAGGCCACAGCAGAGAGCTGGATCAGGAGTGGGGCAACTGGGGCTTGAACCGACACCCAAATAGGATGCCGGCACTGCAGGCGGTGGTTTTACCTGCTACGCCACAGGGCCAGCCCCTCTTTCTTCATTTAGACACAGACTGAACTGCCACCCACTGTTTCACTCCCCAAATGCCCACAATATCTGGGGCTGGGAACAGGTTGCCCTGATGGGTCGGAGGGGCCCAAGTACTTGAGCCATCACCTGCTGCCTCCCAGGGTTAGCAGGAAACTGGGATCTAGAGCAGAGCCAGGACTCGAACCCAGGTACTCTGGTAGCACAACATAACCGCTGTGTTCACCAGTGGGCCAGACAGCAGCCCCAGAAATTGCCTTCTGTCAGTGTCCCAAAGTTGACTCATTTTCCTTCAGTGAGGTCACAGGTTGTCAAATGTGAGGTGTCCCCTGTAGGATTAGTGGACCAACTGAGTACGAGGGCCACCCTGTGTGTGCGTGGAGGGCTGCCCTGCTCTGCTCTGCACTTTATTTATGTAGTCAGCAAGCATTTACAAGCACTACATATCCTTTGAACCTGCGTTGTGAGTAAATATGATTTAGGCAAATCTACACACTAGCCCAGTGACACACCTGCCCCCTTCTTTGGCAGGGCCGGATTGTGGTACCCCGAGGCTCCCGGGACTTTGGCTGGGACCCCTGCTTTCAGCCTGATGGATATGAGCAGACGTAAGAACCCCGATGTCTCCCTGGGTGTAGGGCTGGGCCTGTGCCTCGCCCTGCTGCAGGCATGTGGGTGGGGGCGGGCACGGGCTCTGAGGATGCCGTTCCGGCTGAAGGCAGCTGTGCTGGGATGGACACCAGGAATCTGGGTGGCCCAGTCCTCCGCAGAGGAGGCAGCCATGCGGAGCTGAGTCTGGGCTCTGGGCCTCTGGTCCACTTGGGAGCAGCTGTGTGACCAGTGGCTTCCCTCCTCGCCTTGGCCTGTCATTTACAAACCTGACAGTTTTATACATTCTCCAACTCCCCATCAAGGCCACACACTGACTGTTATTGGAATTGGGCTTTCTAGGCCTGAGGGGTATAGCCTGGGGCCTGGCAGAGCTAAGGACACTGAAGCTGTGCTGCCCAAGGGAGCTGTTTGGTGACAGAAATGTTCTGTGTCTGCACTGTCCCCGTGGCCAGCCACCATCCCCATGTGGGACAGCTGAAATGGGGCGAGACTGAAGAACCGAAATTGCTCTAATTCAGTTGTCATTCCTCTGAATAGTCACATGTGGCTAGTGGCAGCTGGACTGGACACATAGGGATGAAGGTCACAGGGGAGTGGGTTATTGCCTCGCCAGAGTCCTGGCATAGAGGCTGGGCCCCCGGCCAGCGGCTCTGTTCTCGGCCCGTCCACTGCATTGGAGGAGCTGCTGTGTTTGCTGTGTCAGGCCTCACTGTTTCCTGTCAACAGAGGACAAAGCTGATCAAACACACAGCTCATCCCTGTCCCCAGCTTCCCTTGACAACTTTTGGACATGCCAGAGCGAGGTGTTTTTATTATTATTTTATTTGGAAAACAGGCAGAGATCTCCCACCCACTGGCCCAATCCCCAGATGCCTGCATGCAGTAGCAGGGCTGGGCCAGGGTGAAGCCAGGAGCCAGGACTCCATCCAGGTGTCCCAGAGGGGCAGAAGGGATCCGGCCACTTCAGCGATCACCTGCTGCCTCCTGTGCCTTAGCGAGAAGCTGAGGTCAAAACTGCAGCGAGGACTCCCGCCGGCACTCTGACGTGGGATGCAGGCGTCCCAAGTGGTGTCTTTTTTTGTTTGTTTGTTTTTATTATTTGAAAGAGAAAGATCTTCCATTACCTGGTTCACTCCCCAAATCCCTCCAACAGCCAGGGGTGGGCCAGGCGAAGCAGTCATCAGGAACTCCATTCAGGTCCTCGTGGGTGTCAGGGACCCAAGTACTTGAGCCGTCTGCCGCTGCCTGGGCTCATTAGCAGGAAGCTGGATCAGAAGCAGAGTAGCTGGCTTCACTCGCTGTGCCACAGTGTCTGCTCCCAAGGAGGTGTGTTGATCAGTCTGTCAAAGCCCCGCCCCCAGGGGCAGGCACCCGGCGCAGTGGCTGAGATGCTTGGACGCAGCATCCCGAGTGCCTGCGTGAGCTCTGGCTCTGCTTCCTGCCAGCACACACCCTGGGAGTTGGGTCCCTGCCACCCATGTGGGAGACCTCAGTTGAGTTCCTGGCTCTTGGCTGTTAGAGGCGTTTGAGGCATGACCAATCGATGGAAGGTCTCTGTCTGCCTTTCAAATGAAGAATGAGAGATAGACAGACAGACAGATGATAGATGAACTGCCTCCCGGGGCTGGGGGCTCGGAGCGTGGGCTGGGCTGGGGGGTGCCCACAGTCGGCCAGGCTCCGTCACAGAGCTCTTGCTGTCCTCCCCAGGTATGCAGAGATGCCCAAGGCTGAGAAGAACGCCATCTCGCACCGCTTCAAGGCCCTGCTGGCCCTGCAGGAGTACTTCGGCAGCCTGACTCCTCCTGGGGCCGCAGGAGCCCCTGGCCATGGATCCGGCGAGAGCTAGCCCAAGACCTCCGCCAGCAGGCAGGCACCCCCTTGAAAAGTGCTTCCTTCACTGTTCTCTCCTCCCGCGGGTGTCGGGGCAGCCTCACCACCAGCCCTGTCCAGAGGAGCAGCTGGTTCTGCTTAAGAAACTGGGCAAGCTGCCCCCAAGGCAGTGATCCCTCCTGCAGCCTCCAGGCCTGGGGTCCTGGAAGGACGACCGTGGTGTTGAAACTGGCCATGGCAGGACTGAAGGCGTGGGGAAGACCAAACAGCCTTGGATATTTTGAAAATGCAACGGTAATTCCCGGAGGCACTTGTTTCCAAAATAAATCAGATGTATCTACGTGAACCCTGCCCTGGGCTGCTGGCTGTGCCCCGAGTCCCCGACAGGTGCAGGAAGCCTTGCGGGTAGGGCTGGCGGGCCGGGGCCGTGTTTGCCTGCCCTTGCTGGCTGCAGCCACACTTCTGCTTGTGTTCCTTCCTCTCATAGGAAGGAACGTGTCTTCTTCCATGCCACATCCACGCTGTCTGCCCACCCATTAGGAGATGCCACCACCCAGCAGGCCGCCATGGTGTTTGCCAGGCTGAGAAGGTGGGCAGCATGGATGGCCCACCGCTGTCCCTTTATGTTGCTGTCCAGTAGAGCAGCTCAAAGGTTGGCTTGTGATGGTGCCAAGTGCATCTTCCTTGTGGGGAGGGGCACGGAGTCCTTGACTCGAGGGGGGTTGACATGACTTGGTTCAGCCTGGAGCCTGGAGGCTGGAGGCCCTCACCGAGACATAGCTTAGCTGCCTCCAACCCTTCCTGGGCCCCTAGAAAAGCCAATGTCTGAGAGGGACTTAGGGGGCCCAGGCATCCACTTTGAGTAGACCATTCTCTGGCTAGGAGTGCCCAACCCCAAGGACATGCAGAGCACGGGGCAGGGGCCACTTCCAGTCTCACCTCTGCTCAGAGCTCACACAGTGTTCCCTTAGGTCCTTAGTCCTCAAGCCTGGCCTTAAGAGTTCTGAGAACAGTCTCTGGCCTGTGGCAGTGCACGTGGGTGGTCAGAACATTCCCCCACTGCCGCACTCCCTGTCGCCCAGCTCGGCTGCTTTCCTGGGAAGTGCCTGTGTCCCCATCCAACTTCCCGAGTGGTCTCAGGCAAGTGATGTCCGGCAGGCCTGCCTGGGTCACTCTAGATGGAGTGTCACCTGCAGGCAATGCCCAGGCCACTAGGGAGGGGGTGCCAAAGAATCCCAGGGCATGCTTGGGTGGGCGTGGCACAGAGCTTGGGGCAGGGCCCCCTTGTTTGCTGCTCAGCTCCTTCTGACCTGGGCACATGCTATTACCACCTCCCCCCACCCGCTTTTTTTTAAGGTTTATGTATTTATTTGGAAGGCAGAGTGACAGAGACCTTCTGACTACTGGTTCCCTCAAATGCCCTCCAGAGCCCGGAGCCCCATCTAAGCCCCATGCGGGTGGAAGGACTCAGTGCCTGGCCATCCTTGGCCACCTCCTGGCACATCAGCAGGAAAGTGAATGGCAGGTCTCAACCCTAAGGACTCCCACGTGATAGGGGTATCCCAAGCCGCAGCGTAGCCCAGTGTACCCCAACGGCAGCCTCTTGTTGACTTCAGCCGGCCAGCCTCACAAGCAGCACTGGGAAGGCTCATGTCACTGCTGCGCTGACAGGTACACACGGACCCTGGGCAACCACCAAGCGACCAAGCCAGAAACCTGGCACCATCTCCCCTCCGTCAGGCCAAGCCCCCGTCCCACCATGCCCGTTGTCATGCTGTCACTGTGCAGTCCTGCCCCTGCCACCAGGTATAAAATCCAGGAGCCACAAAGTTCAGGCTGGCTCAGAACTGCCACCCTGACTGATGCACCCGTTTCCAGTCTCCTCTCCACTGCCAGCGCTGTCTGCCCTGATGGTCCCTCCTAGGCCACAGCCCCTCCCTCCCTGCAGGTTCCTGACAACACGGCAGAGCGAAGGCCTGGATATCCACGTTTCACTGTGGGGCCGACATCCACCACAGCGCTAGAAGTGACTGCTCACAGGTGACACTGTACAAACATGGCCCCCTTCACTCCACTTGCCCAGAGACTCCCCTCCCAAGTGTGTGTGTGGAGGGGGGCAGCCTGTGGAAGCATAGAAACAGAACTTTATTCTCTAGTGTGCGTACAGCAAGTTCCTTACACAATCAAGGAAATGGTTTCTCTTTCAGGCATCTACTCTTTTATCAAAAGAAAATCCATCCTGCTTCGTCTCAGCCTGGGCAGCTCCTGCCCTGAGCCAAGGTCCTGACCCAGAGCTAAGGGCTAACGGGGAGGGGGGTGGACACACCCGGAGCCCCCGTCATGCCAGCTGCCCTAGGTCCGGGAGACAGCTGTGAGAGGGCGCAGCACGGAGCAGCCACGGGACAGCCCTACCTCCCCACACAGCCAGAGCGCAACGGGCAGAGGGGCCGGCCGTGGCTAGGGTCTGCCATCAGGGCCTGTGCTCGGCGTCCATAGCGTCCAGGTATTTGGCTTCAATGATTCGGGGTAGCAGGATGTAGCTGTAGAGGGACGGGGGGAAGCAAGAAGATGAGCGCTGGGGCAGGGGCGGCAGGCGCCCAGCCCAGCCCAGCCCAGCCCAGCCCAGCCCTCGAGTGCCTGCTTCCGCCCGTACCGGATGGGAATCATGGCAATCATGATGAGCGGAAAGATCATCTTCATGTAGGGCAGGGAGCTCATGCCGAAGGCACAGAGCAGCAGCAGCTGCAGGACCTGCAGGCCTGTGAAGTAGTGGATCTTCCTCTGGGGCACCCTCCGGATGTAGTGCGTGGGCGGGTAGGAGGTCTGCGGGCAGCAGGTCCGCGTGTGGGCGGCGGTGGCCCGGCTGCCCCGCCAGCCCCACACCCTTCCCTCCCGGGGCAGGCACGCACCTGCTCCTTGAGCAGCAGGGCCACCCGTTCGAAGAGCTGGTGGCCGTCCAGGGAGGTGAGTGCGATGTAGAGGAAGAGGCCGTAGAGCACGGGCTTGGGGATCCACTGCAGTGGGAAGGGCAGCAGCAGCAGCGAGAAGCCCACCAGGACGCTGGCACCCAGCGAGGTCAGCCGCGTCTCCTTCACGTTCACGATCCTGCAGGGCCCCCTCCGGTCACCCAGGCTTTCAAGGCTGTGCCACCTCTGGGCCCTTGCCGCTAACGGGACATGCCTCCCTCGGCCTCACACGGCCCGCCGCTCCCTCCACCCCAGGGTCCACAGGGCTCCCGCCACGGGCCTCCAGGGGCCACGCCCACACTCACGTCTCGTAAATGTGCCCGTTCTCCACACGCTCCTCCACCAAGGCCAGTGCCCGCACGTGCAGAGGGGAGTGGGGGTAGGCAGCGTGGAGCCAGGGCAGCCCAAACAGGGACAGCCCGGTGTTGATGATGGCGAGGAGCAGGAGGTCCCAGTGGTAGGCGGTGCCTTTCACCAGCCTGCAGCAGATGGGCACCCATGGGCAGAGCCCGGCTGGCCCTGAGAAGGCTGGGCATGCACCGCACCCCGCCCCGCCCCGCCCCGCCCCGCCCCAGTACCTGTTCTCTGGTGCGTTCACCAAGGCAGCCACCAGGTTCTGCTCGATGAAGAAGAGGAGCGAGAGCAGGAAGCCAAGGCCCATGGCACTGCAGATGGCCCCCAGGGACAGGGAGTGGATCTGGGCCATCTCAAACAAGTTGTCGCTGGGGTTGTAGCGGAACTTGCTCACTGCGGCAGGGGCAGGCTCCTGCTTAGTCCGCAGCCCCGGGGAGCAACCCCGCGCCACCCCAGTGCCACCCCAGCTCACTCTCTATTTCCTGGAAGCCGTAGGAGCTGATGAGGGAGAAGGTGAGCACCGCGATGGGCAGGGCACAGTCAGACAGGATCTCACGCACGTAGGGGTGCAGGTAGGGGCTGCGGACAGGGGGGCAGATGAGCATGGCCTGGGGGCCGCGTGGCCCTGGCCCTCACCCGAGGCCTCTCACCTCTTCTTGAACTGGTACAGGGTGTAGCCCAGCCAGAGCGTGCCCAGCATGATGAGCAGGCTGAGCACTGCCGTGGCCTGGCCGGAGTGCTGGGCGCCAGGGCTGCCCCCCGCAGCCAGCTCCGTGGGGCTGGCCAGGAGGCTGCTGTTGAGGGCAGCGTGGAGGCTGCCGTTGAGTGCGGTGCCAGCGCCCAGCAGGCTCCCCAGCGGCGAAGTCCGTTTTGTGTAGTGGGAGTGCCCGTAGTAGTACTTCCAGAAGACTGTGGATACAGACCTCAAGCCTCAGCCATCTGGGCTCTGGGAAGTGGGGTGGAAGGGCCCTGTGGGGCGGGGTGGTGGCAGAGGGGTCCAGAAGGAAGAAAGGGCTTCTGGGGAGAGGTAGCGAGGGAGAGGGGAGCTCTGGCCTCCTTTGCTAGCCAGGACCCTACCCTGCACCGCCCCTCCCCGCCAGGACCTCACCCCACACCTCCCGCCCACCCTCCTTACACCCCTGCCGTGTCCCTGTCCTGTGGGATACCCCATCGCGCCTGGCCCGGTGCCTCTGCCCCACCTCTTCTCCTGCCTGGGACAGCCCTGTCACCCTCCAGCACACGGGGACGCTACTCTCTGCCAACCACGACCAGACTGCCCCAATCAAGCCACAGCCCCGAGCCCCCCATCTCAGCCTGGCTCCCTCTGCAGCAGGCGGCCGACGGCTCTACACTCACTTTTGACCATGCCCTTGACGGCGTCCAGCACGAACGTGCTGGAAATGAACAGGGCGATGACCTCCTCTGTGGACCTGCGGGAGGTGATGTGCACCATGAGGCGGGGGGCTGCTAGTGGGAACGGGATTGGGGGCTCCCTGGGCCCCAGCCCCCCTGGGTGCCAGGGCCTCGGAGGCTGCTTCGAGGCTGCCCCGGATGCCCTGCTGGAGAGTCCCGGCAGCTCAGGGCAGGCTCCGTCACCTCTTAAAGAGACTCATGACCAGGCTGAGGTTGAAGAAGGCGTAGAGCGCCAGGAAGAAGCTGTTCCACAGGCCCGTCCACGCGTAGAAGGAGTTGAAGTCCAGGTTGTAGTCGTCACAGATGACTCGGATCACTGCGGCGGCAGAGCAGGGCAGGCGTCAGGGCCTGGCTAGCGCCAGGCACCTGGAGCACCAGCTCCCGCCTCGAGCCCCACTGCACCCTGGGTGTAGATGGCCAGGGGCGCGGTTGTCAGCAGGATCACCAGCGGCTGCCCCGAGAAGAGCGCGTACAGGAGCCCCCCGATGCTCTGCCCAGCTATGGTCTTCTGCACATCTGTGGAGGGGGAGGTCAGGTGGGCACCACAGCCCAGGGCCCTGCCCGGCCCACAGGCACCAGCCCCTCACCAATGGCCCCGTTCGTGTTCTCATCGTTGAGGGACCCGAAGGCGATGGTGGGCAGGAGACAGGCGAAGTAGAGGAACAGGGTGGTGGTGATGTATTTGCCCACGGCCTTGTTTTTCCCGATGATGCCTGGGAATGGCAGAGGGGCACAGGGTCAGCTGGGGACGCAGGACAGGTGCACGTGGGGCCCGAGAGGCGGAGCTCTGGAGGGGCCGCGGGGCCACGTACCATCGGTGAAGTCCAGCGGGTACACGGGGAACCTGCGCTCCATGTCCTCCCAGATGCCCTTCCCAAAGGGAACAAAGTCCTTGCACTTGGGGGGCTGGGAGAGAAGACAGAGGCCTGTGAGTGCTGCCCGGGCCACGTCCTCCGCCTGCCCACGGCCCCTGGAGCCGGTACCTTCGGGTGTTTGTGGAGCTGCAGGGAGACCATGCTGTGGTCCTTTGTCTTGGGTGTCACCACGGTGAGCAGCTGTCTCTGATGCACCAAGGCCTCCTTGAACTCCTCCTCCGTGCGGGTCCGCAGGAGCTTCTGGCGGAAGGCGATGTCGGAGAACATGGTGGCAAACGTGCGTGCCACCTCCATCGCGGTCTTGGTGCTTTTCTGGGGACGGAGGACGGGAGAGCTGCACTGGCAGCCCCTGCGGAGCAGCGGAAGGCCTGCCTTGCCGAGCACGCCCAGGCACGCCCCAGGGGTGGCGGGCGCTCCCCAGGGAACTGGTAGGTTCCTTCCTGAAGCTCAGGCCTCAGTGTGGCTTGCCACAGTTGCCACCAGCTCAACAGGTCACTGGCACTATCACAGATCTAGGGTTTTTCTTATAAACTCATGAGGACTTCCTAGAAACTCAGTCTCGAGGCCGACGCTGTGGCATAGCAGGTAAAGCCACTGCCTGCAGTGCCGGCATTCCATATGGGCACCTGTTCAAATCCCGGCTGTTCTACTTTGTAACTCTGCCATTCAAATACATACATACATACATTAAAAATAAAAACAAACAAAAAAACTGAGTCTCGCACTAAACAACAGCTCCCGGCTAATGAAAACGCAGTGCCGAAAAATGGTCACCAAGCGTCATGGCTTTTTGGCTTTCAGAGGGCCCTCTCCCTCCTTCTGACCATGGTCAACTGTGCCCATATGAACTACAAACTCCACCACAGCAACCTGCTCACTCCCCAGCCCAGGTCCCCAGGGAGCCGGGTCCCGCCTGTGTCACTGGGCTCCGGCATGCACAGGACACGTGAGAACAGGCTCAAGCTCCCCCGGTCGGGGACTGGAGGCCTGCCCCAGGCCCCGTGCAGAACCCCAGCCCCTAGGCTCTTGGTCCTGCTGTGCTGCCAGCTGCCCCTCTGCCCTCCTCTCTCGCCGGCTCTGGCTCAGGCGAGGCGGCAGTTCACAGCACATCTCTGAGATCCCGGGGAGGGACGTCCCCCCAGAACCCCTTTATCTAGAGACAGCTGGAGGAGGGGGCCTGAACCAGAGGCAGGGGCAGAATCGTCAAGAAGCTAATGGCAGCTTAAGCGTTACGGCCTCCCTGTGGCATGGGAGGGGTCTCACGATTTCCTGTTCAGGATTTTAGAACCCTGTTCCTTACAAGACTCTGCGAATCGTATCAGCTTCAGCCCCACAAAAGCAGGGGTCCCTGGCGGGTCTAGAAGGCTCAGCCAATACTAACAGCAGGCAGTCAGATGCAGGGGCACGGTGGGTAGCAAGCTGGGGTCATGATCATTACTGAAGCTTTTATCTCCCTTCAGGAAGGAAACACGGGCCAACATGGTGGCGCAGCAGGCGAAGCTGCTGCTTGTGACGCTGGCACCTCGGTGTGCGCTAGTTTGGGTCTCAGCTGCTCTGCTTCCGATCCAGCTCCCTGCTGCTGTGCCTGGGAGAGCAGTGCAAGATGGCCCACGTGCTTGGGCCCCTGCTCCCAGTGGAAGACTTGGATGAAGCTCCTGTTCCTGGCCCAGCCCTAGCCGTTGCAGCCATTCGGGGAGTGAACCAGCAGAGGGAAGATCTGTCTGTCTCCTCCTCTCCCTCTAACTCTGCCTTTCAAATAAATATATATATTTTAAAGACGGGAAATACAAGTTTTTGGACAACCCGTGGGGTCACAGGACTGGGGGACGGGGGTGCCCCTAGCGAAGACGGGCAGAGATGAACCCCGTGGGACACATGCTCCCCGAGAGGGCGGGGCCGCCTCCACCTCCGCTCACCATCTTGGGTGGGGCCAGCACCAGGATGACGAAGCGGACCTCACAGGAGTTCTCGCCCCAGTTCTGCGGGCGGACCAGACGGCTGATGCACACGTGCCGCTTCTGCAGGGCCTTCATGGTGCAGCTGGCAGGGCAGGGGAGCGCACGGTGCACAGACGTCACCCCTGGGCGCCGGGGCTCCCCCCACCCGGAACCCCCAACCTTGACCCCTGGTGACCTCTATGAGGGAGGGAAAAATAAAAAAGCCAGATGAGACGGAAGACTTGGGCCCTGTCCTCCCAGGTGGCATGCCACCAGCGCTGAGGCACTCACAGGTAGGCCAGCCTCTGTGGTGGGGACAAGGGGCTCCAATGTGACAGGGTGGGATGAGGGCCTGGTGACTCACATGACGCAGAGCCATGACTGCTGGTATTGCACCCCCGTGACCGTGGCAGTGACGCCCTGGATGGTGTCCGACAGCAGGTGGACTGAGGACAGAGTGGAGGGGCGAGGTGAGCCGAGCCCCTCCCGGGTCTCCCCTGCCCAGGCAGGAGACAGGCCCTACCCTTGCTCTCCATGGGGGTCCCGGCGTCGGTAAAGAGCTTGGCCATGAGCAGGTCCAGGTTGCAGTCGGGCTCGGTGTTGTCGGGGTCCTGGGCGAAGCGGCTCAGCATGGTGCGCAGCACGTCATCCAGCGAGGTGGCCGTCTCGTTCAGGACGATGCTGGCCTGCGCCAGGAAGCCGTCGAGGTCGCGGTGTGCGCGGATCTCCTCCTCGAAGTTCTTTAACTTCAGGTACTGTGGGGACCGCGGGCACTGCTGTGTCTGCCTGGGCCCTGCTCCACGGGGGCCTCCCCCGTCCACCAAGGGCCCACAACCATTCCAGCAGGGAAGGCCTGGCTTGGCTGGCCCCGGTTGTGGGGGACATGGGAGAGGCATAACAGCAACAGCGAGAGGAATCCCAGGGAAGCGGCCCTTTGCACCCCGCACTGGGGCCCCCCACCCACCCTGCCGGATGGACCCTCACCTTGCGGGAGGTGTGCAGGAGCACGCAGCCGCCAGACGCCACTTCGCTGTCGGCTGGAGGAAAGCAGAGAAGGGGGGAGGGAGGGCTGAGGGTGCCACCCCAATGCAGGTCCCGCCTGGTGGGTGAGGGGCCAGCCCTGCCGCCGCCCCCAGCCCAGCCCGCTGCCGCCCCCGTACCCGACTTGGACGGCTGCACCTGGAGGTTGACATTGACAAAGAAGCGGATGCTCTCGCCAGACACGATGGAGGAGTTGACTGTGTCGAACGCCTCATCCCCCAGGCTCTCCTCGTGGGCCTCAGCCTCGGCCTCGGCCGGGTCATCCGCGTCACACTTGATGTAGCCTAGAGACCCAGCTGCCACCAAGACCCCCACTGTAAGAAGAGACTCCAAGCCCAAGGAGCAGGAACCCCCGGCTGGCCCCTCGGCCCACCGTGTGCACTGGGAGCACCTCCTGAGGCCAGGAGCTGGCAGCCCGGGGCCCCCGGACTCTCAGCGGCCTCCTCCAGCCTGGGGACCAGGGCCCGCACTGTCTGTGTGCACCAGACACAGGGCACGGTAATCCAGGTCAGACCGCCTGGCCCCTGCCTTCACACAACAGGATCAAGGGAAGGCAGAGCCACTGCAGTACCTGATGACCCCCACCCCACCCCTGCAGCCTTGACGGCACGGGGTCCGAGAGCCCCTCCTCCCAGGGAGCGCAGGTGAGGCGAGAGGCCCGGCCCAGCCGTTACACAGGGCATATAAGGGCCTCATCTCAGCCCTGCCTCCACAGCGCCCACAGTGGATGAGGGATGTGTCACGGCGCCCTTGGGATGTGGGACCCCACAGCAGAGTGCCCACTGCTCCTTTCCCTTGGTCTCCTCTCTCTGTGGCTGCCCCACAGCCCAGGCCCCTTCCTACAGGAAGACTTCCTGGTAACATGCAAATGATCCTCTCTCCTCTGAGCCCTGCTGTAGCTTGTGCGGTCTATGCACAGTCATGGGCCTGGCCTGAGCCCCCTGCTACCCCTGCCTGACACTTGCTCCCCAGGCCAAGCGGCCAGCACCGTGCATACGCGAGCGCTTGTCCTCCAGGCCGGGGCCACCTGCCCAAAGGGCCGTCTTCCCGGTGACTGGGACTCCTCCTCTAGGAAGCCCTCCTGGACACCTGCCTCTCTCCCAGCCCAGCAGGTCACTCTTTAGGACAGAGGAGGGTCAGCAGCAAGTCTACACTGGCCAGGCAGTGACTCATCCTGACTCACGCCCACTCTCGCCATCCAGTTTCCTCTGCACATCCCTGTCCCTGTCTCCCTGATGTCTGGAGCTCAGCCTGGGCCCCTTCTGGGCAGGAGGAGCTGAGTCTCCCACATCAAGGCCCCTCAGGGGGTGGTGGTGCACACGTGCACTTGCGCACACACACACACACACACATACACCCCAGCTCTGGGCCTCAACAGCACCCAGAGCCTGAAGAACTGTTAGGTCAAAAGCTGCCCAGCCTGGGACGGGTGTCGTGGCACAGTGGGCTCAGCTGCCACTTGGGACGCTCATATACCGTATCGGAGGGCCACTTTGTGTCCCGACTCCTTAGCTTCCAATCTAGTTCCTTGCTAATGTGCCTGGGAGGCAGCAGGTGCTGGCTCAAGTACTTGAGCCTCTGCCGCCCACATGGGAGACCTGGATGGAGTCCCTGGCTCCTGGCTTGGGTCTGGCCCAGCCCTGGCCGTTGTGAGTAAACCAGCAGATGACGCGCGCTCTCTCTGTTACTCCTTCATATAAATAAATCTTTTTTTTCCCAAAGATTTTATTTATTTACTTGAGAGAGTTATAAAGAGAGGAAGAGACAGAGAGAAAGGCCTTCCGTCCACTGGTTCTCTCTCCAAATGGCCACAATGGCTGGAGCTGGGCTGATCCAAAGTCAGGAGCCAGGAGCTGCTTCTGGGTCTCCCATGAGTATGCAGGGGTCCAAGCACTTGGGCCATCTTCTACTGCTTTTCCAGGTCACAGCAGAGAGCTGGACAGGAAGAGGAGCAGCCGGGACTAGAACCGGTGCCCATATGGGATGCTCTACCTCTCAAATAAATAAATAAATATATATATTTTTTAAAGACCTCTCATGCTTTCTCTCCCTCTCTTTCTCTGCAACCTGCCTTTCAAATAAGCAAATAAATATATTTTAAAAAAGTTCTAGCTGTTTTTGTATGGAGCGCATGATAAATGCCTTCCTCTCCATTCAAGGTCCACCTGCCTCCCCCAGCCCCCGCCACTTCTCTGGGCCCTACTTGCCTCAGCCTCAGCTCCTGGATCCTCTAGTTAAGGACCTGTCCAGACGACACTACCAGGTCCCGCAGGGCTCCTACAGTGCAATGTCCCCACTGCCATCTTACAGCCCAACCGCACCCCTAAGCTGCCACCGGCCCCTGCTTCACAGAGCCCCCGAGCCTGAGGGCCCCAGGGAAAAGCACACTGCCACTTCGACTAAGCACCATCCCGCAAAAACAACCCTCTGATGGTCAGACCAGCTCGCTGACTAGGCACGGCCCTGGGTCTCAGGGAAGAAGACAGCTAGTATAAGCAGGGACCACCAGCGCACAGAGCAGCTGTAGTTGTTTAAAGGGACAGCAATCCCTGCTCTGCTTCCAATTCCAGTTTCTTGCCATGTGCACCCCGGGAGGCAGCAACTGATGGCTCAGGCAGTTGGGTCCCTGCTACCCACATGGGAGAGCCTGAAGGCTGCTGCGGACATTTGGGCAGTGAGCCAGCAAATGGAAGATCTCTCTCTCCCTTTCCAGTAAATAAATCTTTAAAATAATAATAATAATAAAAATCAAGGGACTGCAGCCCCTCCCTCCAGGGTGTGTCCAGTGACCAGGACACTCTAACAGTGCACCATGGGAGAGCACAGTAGGTGGCTCCGGGGGTCCAGGAGAGCAGGGAGCCTGCCCTCCAGGGACCACCCACCAGTGCCCAGCCTCACCAGCTGTCCTCACTACACCACAACCTCTTGGGAGGGGGGCTCCAAAGACATTCCCCATCAGCAGTGGGCCAGACAGGTGGCCCAGGCCATGGGTACACAGGTGGGTGGGCTGGGGGCCCTAGGGCTGGCTGGCCAAGGAGCTGACCATGCACACATCTGACAAGCACTCACCTGAATCTTCAACGTGTCCATTCTGTGACATGGCGGGAGAGGAGTTATCTGCAACGGAAGCCAAAGACATGTCACCAGCCAGGTGGACCAGCCCTGGCCAGTCTCCTGCGCCCACCCCACCCCTGCTGACTTCTTACCTTACCCAGAGACCCAACTCCCGCCACCCAGGGAGAAAGGGGCAGGGAACAGCACTAGGGAGGGAGCCCCCTGGCCCTAATGGAATGAATTAACTTCCTTGGGCCACGTGCTGGGGGCTGCGCAGGTGGGAAGGGTGAGGAGGGGAGATATTTGCCCCTGCGCCTGGGCCAGGGCCCGGCTCTGCGCTCGGCGCTCCCCTCTGAGGCCAGGCTCGGGGGCCGTAAGCATCCACAGCACGTGCAGTTCTCCCTGAGCCTCAGTCCCTGGCGGGCCACGGGGGAGGCGGAGGTGTGTGAGGAACACACGGGGGCGTGCTGCCCGCGCAGAGCCCCGGATGGTCCCGGCTGTTTGTGCGAGGAAGGAAGGGCGGGGCGGGGCGCCGGCACAAGTGCAGAGGTAGACGGCTCCAGACGGGAGACTCTGGGGGTCTGGGGGCCGGGTGCGGGCCGCACCCCGGCGAGAGGCCGGCAGGAAGGTGGCGTCTGGGCGCGCAGGGACAGCGGACCTGGAGGATGGGGCGCACAGCGGGCCCCGCGTGCAGCTCAGGGGCCGTACAAACCCCAGCTCCAGGCCGGGAGCCCGGGGGCCCGGGAGTGGGCGGGCTCCCCAACAGCTCCGGGCGGGAAGGTGCCCGCCGACGGACGGAAGACGAGCCCTTCCGAGGCGGCAGCGGCTCGGTTCCAAAGTGCCCGGAGCTCCCGGGTCCTGGAGCCCCCGCGGCTCCACCCCGCTCACTTCTGAGCCCCCGCCCCTCTCCCTCCACATGTCCCCAGAGAGGCTGAGGACCTGAAGACGGCGCGCGCAGAGCCCTCAGCGCGATGCGCAGCGCCCCCGCGCCCTCGCCTTCGCCCTCAGGCAGGAGCCCCCGGCCCCGGGTCGCGCAGCCCACGGCATCCACGTCCCCCCCGACGGCCGCGCGTTCCCGCCCAGCCAGGTTCGGCCGCGCACACCCGGCGGCCCTCCCTCCGCGCCCGCAGGAACCGGGCACCCACCGCACGGCTGCAGATGGAAGACGCGCCGGGCGGCCGCGGCCATGGCCTGGGCCGCCTGGCGCTCTCGGACGGCCGCACGCAGGCACACGCGTCCCGGCTCTGGAGCTTCGAGACCCCGGAGCCCAGCGTTGCGGGCGGGAGCCGGCGACACACCCCCGACCGCGTCTGGGTCCTAATGCCGCTCCGACGCCGCGCCTCGAGCGCGAGGCCGGGCAGCCGAGGGCGGGGTCCCGTGCGCCCGCCCCGCGCCCTCACCCGTGGGAGGGCTGCCCGACGCCAGGCCAGGCCGCGTAGACTCGACTCCTTTGGGCCCTAGCGTCGCGAGGTTAGGGGTTGGGCGGGGCTGGGCAGTTTCTGGAAAGAAGTTCGAGGTGGCCCGGAACCGCGGGGCCCTGCCACTGCGGAGGGGCGCGGGAGGGCTTCCCGGGCATCCGCTTTAAGGACGCCACGGGCCTCCGCCCCCTCCCCGCGGCCGGGGGCCTCGGCAGGGCCACACCCGCCGGCTGCCCCGCCTCCTTCATTCATCCCGTGGGCTCGGGCCGAGAGCTCTCCTCCTCCTCCAGGAAGCGCGCCCCGACTCACTGGACGAGCAGGCGCGCATTCCCTGGGTCCCGCCCTGGCCCGCGGAGCCGGCCCCCCTCCTGGCTCTGAGGCTTTGGGTTCGCTCGCCCGGCGCCTCGCAGCTTCTCTTTGCTTCCCAAAATGGCCCCGCCACCCGGTTTCCCGCCCGAGACCGGGGTCCCCTGCGAGTGGAGCCAGGGGGGCGCGCGCCGCCATGGGGTCTGGCAAGTGCAGCCGGTGCGACGAGCCGCCGGGCCTCGGAATCACCGGGGAACACACACCTTGGCAAACCGCGACGTCTCCCTCCCCGCCCGCGGGGTCCTCCGGAGACATGGTCCTCCGCCACAGAGAAGGCCGAGGGCGAGCCACCCACCGGCAGGGCAGCCCCCAAGAGCTCCTGGCGCCTCGAAAGCACCTCCTGCACCGACGGCAGGAGGGAGGCTGACCCAGTTTTCCCTCCCCGCAGCACGAGGAGCGAGCCGTTGGGTGCTGTCTGGAGAACTGGGGTTGGGGACAGCCCTGAGCACGCGCTCAGTGCTCCGAGAGACCTTGCGGGAGGGACCCCCTTCCTGGGGGCGAGCAGGCCCTGTGAGGGGAGACACCGGGCCACCTCCGCGCTCTCCCGTACCTGAAGCCCTGGGTATGGTGGCTGGAGGCGGGGACGGAGCTCCACTGACCAGGGAGCAAGACAGAGGGAGGCGCAGGGGCTGCCCCACTGGGCCTCTCCCAGCGCAGGCTGCCTTGGCTTCTGCACCTGCCTCCTAGCGGCTCCTGAGCTCCTGGTCCTCAACCACCTGTGCCAAGAAACCGCCCTGGACTGGAGGGGCAGCCTCCCATTCCCTTTAGCACCTGGGGTCTCACGGGTGAGGAATAAGGAGCCACGGAAGCCTTCTCTGGACCCTCCACCCGCTTTCTTCTGCAGTGCCGGCCCTTGCCCTGCAGTTCTGTTCCTCCCCGAGGCCCGTGCCCCTGCTGCCTCCAGACTCTGACCGGCGCGGACACAGGAGGTTTCATGCTTCCATCTTTCTGCCCACCTCCAGCCTTCCAGGGCAGACGCTCCAGCCTGGGGGCTCCCGCCTGCGCCCAGCTGTGTCCTGCCCGGCACAGGGATGCTTTCCCTCATTTCCACGGCGGGGGTGGGGTGGGGTCCTCTGGCCCTGCTGGGTTGTGGACACAAAACACAAAGCCATGCCTGCTGGGTCCCATGAGGCACTTTGTGGTTTCCTAAAGCACTGTGGGGGCCGGCGTTATGGCGCCCTGGGTTAAGCTGCCCCCTGGGATTCCATATTCCATGTGAACACCGGTTCAAGTTCCGGCTGCTCTACTTCCGATCCACCTCCCTGCTGACGCACCTGGGAAAGCCAAGTCCTTTGGTCCCTGTACCCACGTGGGAGACCTGGATGGAGCACCTAGCTCCTGGCTTCAGCCTGGCCCAGCCCCAACCATTGCAGGCATTTGGGAAGTGAACTTGTGGATGGAAGATCTCTGTCTCTTCCTCTCACTGTAATGCTCCCTTTCAAATACATACATAAGTCTTAAAAAAAGGGGGGGGGGGCCAGCACTGTGGCATAGTGGGCTAAGCTTCTGCCTGTGATACCAGCATCCCATATGGATGCTAGTTCCTGTCCCAGCTGCTCCACTTATCCAGCTCTCTGCTATGACCTGGGAAAGCTGTGGAAGATGACCCTAGTGCTTGGGCCCCTGCACCTGCATGGGAGACCCAGAAGCAGCTCCTGGCTCCTGGCTTCAGATCAGCTCAGCTCTGGCCATTGTGGCCATTGGAGGAGTGAACCAACGGATGGAAGACCTCTCTCTGTTTCACTCTTTGTAACTCTGCCTCTCAAACAAATAAATTAAAAAAAAAAAAAAAAGCACTTTGAACTCAGTTGCCCCTTATGCCACTTATCTTGTCTGCAGACTTGAGAATCTGGGGTAAGGGAACTATATAGGAACTCATTAAAAACCAAAGCACTCAGGGCAGGCATTCAGTGCAGTGGTTAAGATACAGCTTGGGACACCGCATACCATATTGGAGTGCTTGGGTTCAAGGCCCTGCCCTGCTTCCACTCCAGCTGGCTGCTAATGCTTACAGGAGGCAGCAGGTGACGGTGCAAATATTTGGGTCCCTGCCACCCACATGGGAGACCTGGATGGAGTTCCCGGCTTTGGCCTGGCCCGGCCACAATTGTTGTGGTCATCAGGGGCATGAACCAGTGGATGGAATCTTGCTCTCTCGCTCTCTGCCTTTCAAATACATAGAAACGTTAAAGCAACCTAAGCTCCTTGTTGCTTTCCCTCCATCCCAGAGCCTCACAGCCCTGACTCAGAGCACAGCCTGCTTGCTTCTTCCTCCTCCTGTGCCACCTGGGCCTGTCGCCCCGGCCAGACCTTGAACGCCCTGAGAGAGGGGCTGGGCTTGTCCCTCACTAGTGCTGTGCCAAGCACACTGGGTGCTCAGTAACCCCGCGGCACGCAGTCCCCAGAGGGGGGGAGCCCGCCGGATGGCCTCCTCTCCAGCCACCCTCCACCCCCACAGAGTCCTGCTGATGCTGCCGCCCCCTTTCTCACCTCATGCTCCGCGGACATTAATCAGTCCTTTCATTTCTGCCTCTGCCCTGTCCCATCTTGGCCGCCCTCCACTTCCTTGGACCCTTGGCAAGCAGGGCTTCCCACACCTTGCAGCCGGCAGCTCGCCGTTGAGTCATTTGGGGTTTACAAGCCTCTTGGGGCCTCTGTAGGCTGCCCTGGCCTGCGTTCCCAGCCCCTCACGGCTGCAGCTGCGTCACCCCCTTGTCGTTCCTGGGGAGGAGGCGGGGTACAATTCCCAAGCCATCCCTCCGTCTGGGGACTTGTCATGTCGGGGTTATTTGTGACAGCTTCATGCCTGCGGGACTGGGTTCATGGGTTCAGGATCCCACTGAATCAACTCCCAGATTCTCCCTTGTGTTCTAAGTGGATCCCAATAAACACGCCAATCTGTCTCCAATTCCTTTTTTTTTTTTTTTTAAATGCCTTTTATTTTTACTTGTTTGAAAGGCAGAGAGAGGAAGAGGCGAGGGAGAGAGAGAGAGAGAGAAATTCTTCTATCTGCTGTCTCACTCTCCAAATGCCCACACAGCTGGGACTGAGCCGAGCTGAAGTCAAGAGCAGGGACCCAGGAATCTGAGCCATCAGCTGCTGCCTCTGAGGGTGCACACTGGCAGGAAGCTGGAATCAGAGCAGAGCCCGTCCAGGAACACAGGCACTGGGATATGGAAAGCAAGCATCTAAGCAGCCCCCAATGCACACCCCCATCTCCAATTCTTGGTTTAAGCCATGTTGCCCCCAAATGTCTTAGCCCCCCTTCCAATTTTTCTATTTATGGGGGTGCAGAATGAGACTGGGCATGCTAGTAGCATCTGCCTGCCGGCCTCCTCTCTCTCCTGGGGGCGTCTGCAGGTCCACAGAGGGGTGGGAGGGTGACCTTTTAATCCCAACTTATGCAGCAGTCAGCCTTCTCTCAGTTGCCCTCTATCCCCACTGACAGATCTAGGCCCCGGTATGGGCAGCCAGGAGGGTAAGGATCCCCTGCTCCCCTCAGGGTGACTGTCCTGTGCCCCTTCGCCCCAGCCCATGCTTACCCTGGGCAGGGGTCTTAGAGCTCACGGATCCTGTCTGCCCAGCAGACTGCTGGGCAGGCTCTGGGTTCCAGCTTCTCAGGCAAGAAACACCGGGCACAGGGATGTGAGCAACAGGTCTGGAAAAGATGCCACAATGCTGGCCCCAAACCTGCCCACCGTCACCTCCCCAGGCCCCACTCCAAATCCCATCACTTGCCACCCTGGTGGCCTAAGCTTCCCAAGGCGGCCTGTCTCCTCCCGGCCAGCCTTTCACTCCTTGTATCCTTGGGTCTGCCCCACCCATGGGAGCCTCTCCAGGCCACACCCTTCTGCTGGGGTACAGAGAGCAGGGGCAGGGCCCAGGGCCTGGGCAAGATCTCCAGGCTCTTTGAGCGCCTGATCATGTTCATCTATAAAACAAAGAAGTTGAAGTAGAGAATTTTTAACCAGAAAATTCCACAAATTTTTAGTCTTGAATTGAAATAGTCTCCCTTATCAAACCATCTTTCCTTTTCCTGTTGTCTTTATTTCTTATTATTTGTGCATTCATCCAGGCATGAAATTTCAGAGATGTAAAGCTTCCTAAAAATGTGACACCAGGGGAGGAAAAAAAAACTAAACGTCTTTATCGATGCAGGAACAGGATAAAATGACATATTCACGTTTTTATCTGGTTAGTACTTTTAAACATTTCATTTGCTCCTTTGACATAAAATCTATTGTCCGTAATGCAACTTCCTTCACCCGAACTGTCAGTGCAGGGCCTGGGGCGGCAGGAGTAAACTGTGCACAAGTGCATTTATTTTTCTTCAAATTTTGAGAGGATGAAACACAAAAAAAGCTTTTGGAATTGTTTCAAAACATTGGGTTTTTTTCCACTTTGGCTTTTTCCACTTTGACTTCAAGGTCATCCCCCTGGTTCTCGTCTAATTAGTCATGCTGTCTTGTCAGTTGTTCCTCAAAGTGGCACTCCACCTGGTGGCCTCTCACGGCCACCAGGGAGCAGCAGCAGCCCCTCCCCCACGTTCAGTCCGCTTGATCTTTATTTTATTTACGACCAAAAGGATCTTCAAACTCCCAGGGAACACTGGTGTCTCTGGGTGCACTACCCAGAAAATGATCATCTTTTCTCAATCTTCACAGGGAGAGGGATTACCTTAGTGGCCAGAATGCTACTGTTTTGAGATTTAATTACATATTTGAAAGTCAGAGTTAGAAACGGAGAGACAGAGATTGTCCATCACCTGGTACGTCCCAGTTAGCCACAATGGTCGGGGCTGGGTCAGGCTGAAGCCAGGAGCTTCACCTGGATCTCAGACCACGTGGGTGCAGGGGCCAAGCACTTGGGCCATCTTCCATTGTTTTTCCCAGGTATTAGCAGGAAGCTGGAAGGGAGGTGGAGCAGCTGGGACTCGAACCGGCACCCATATGGTGCTGGTGTTGCGGGTGGCAGCTTATCTGCCCCACCACAACACTGGCCTCAGTGGCTACAATGTTCTGAACCTAATCTTTTACTTCTCTTGGTTAAAAAATCACCATGGGGTAGGCATTGTTGTACAGTTGGTTAAGCCGCTGCCTGTGACACATGCATCCCATGTAAGTACCTGTTTTGAGACCCCGCTGCTCCACTTATGATCCAGTTCCCTGCTAACATGTCTGGAAAAGCAGCTGGAAGATGGCCCAAGTGCTTGGGCCCCTGTACCCATGTAGGAGTCCCAGAGTTCTACAGTCTTCACTTTGGTCTGGCCCAGCCCTGGCCATTGCAGCCATCTGGGGAGTGAACCAGCGAATGGAACATCTCTCTTCCCCTAACTCTGCCTTTCAAATAAGTAAGTCCGAAAAGAAATGACCACCACACCACCACCACCACAATGGAAAGGCTGTTTCCTATGACAAGACAAGCAGCAAGCAGCAGGATTGTGGAAATCAAGTAGGTGTCTCATCTAACAGAGCTCAGAGAGGCCTGCAGGGGGCCATGCACCGCTGCTGGAGGGGAGCAAGCACTTAGCAGGGGGCAGCTTCCAGGGGCCTGGGGGGGGGGTGTGTGGAAATACACAAGGACCCACGGCCAGGCCAGTTGGAGTACCCCGTTCTTCCTAACCACTGTGACTGGGTCAGAGAAGGGAATGCAAGCCTGGACTGTGGGGATGCCACTCGAGGAGGCTGGGTCTTGCTTTTGGGGTGCTGGGGTCACAGTGACGTAGAGGAAGCTTAACACTGGGGAGGAGTGAGGCCACAAGGGATGGGGAGAGGGCCCTGATGACGTCTGGAGTCCCGTGCTCAGCTGGACATGAAGCTGATGCCCCTGTGGACTCTTCTTACAGGAACCAAGCTGCTCGCTTTCCACTGTGGGCTGCAGGTGGGGCAGTGGCCATGCTTTGAGCGACCGTCGCCTCTGTCTATCACAGAAGTCAGTGCACCAGGATTTCCCTGTGCTCCGTGGAGGGCCCTGGGATTTTCAGCAGCTCTGCTCTAAACCATATTTTCCATGTCTTGTCCTCCAGGGTGCCCTGATTCTGGGGCTCCTGCTCTGTCCAGAGGTGCTCAGGTCTCCTCCCTTCCTGTGGCTGAGATGCACCCCTCTCCTGTGCCAGGTGTCCTGCCCTCTGAGGACCCTGACCTCAAAGTTCCTCAGCCAGGAAGCCCCCATTGTCGTCTCTCCTCCCTCCCCGTGTCCTGGGGGTTTGGAGGAGGCACAGAACAGAAGCTCCATCAAGCCTCAAACGCAGGAGCACAGGCTGGGAGGCAAGAGGCTGGAGGAAAGGCACAGTGAGGGACACAGTGGCACCGCCTCCCCAAGTCTATCAGCCCCTCCCAGGCCGTGTTGTGTTTGGTACGTCCAAGAGCAAGTGATCTCATCGAACTTCCAAACCCAGTACCTCCGTCCCAACCGTCAGGAAGGCGGCCTATGGGGGCTGAACCCTCCCTGGCAGGGCACTTCCTCTTGTCCCCAGGCCCCTGCCATGTGGGTGTCACAGGAAGCAAGGTGGTTACAGCCCGGCGGCGCCTGCAGCAAGTGCCACTCCCGGCCAGGCTACCGGTCTTCCTCTCAGCTTTGCCGAGGGTATGTGAGCCGCCGTGGAACCCACAAAGGGCAGCGCGGCCAGGGGGAGGGCCACGGAAGCCGAGTCTGCACCGGGCACAGGGGGCTTCCGCCTTAGAATTTGCTGTGCTACGGCTCGCAGACTGAACACGGCGGAGGACAGCGGCTGTGTCACCCATACCAGCAGAGGGCCGCCTGGCGGAGTTGAATCGGGCTGGGGGTGCCCACCGGCACTCACGTTTTTGCCTGGGGCCCCGGGTCCCGTGCTCACAGCCGGCTTCCTGGAGCCCTCCTGGAAAGTGGCCATCGCAGGCGAGGTGGTTCCTTCCAGGCATTTCGTTCTCCGGGCCCCTGCTGTGTCTGTGTGCAGGGGCGGCTCCTCCCGCAAGGGCCCCGGTGGAGAGGCGCCCACCCGAGGCCTGGTCTGCCTCTGCAGCACGGATGCAGCCAGAGCCTTGCTTAGTCAGTGATAGTTTATTGGTCCTTAGTGTTACATCTCGATTACCAAGGTAAATTCACATACACAACTGCAGGTAAAAACATGTCAAATAATATAAAAATAAATTGAAGACTACTTTTATATATTTACTGAATTAAGTAGTGTAATAAATACTATAATAAGCAAAAAGCTTCATTCACACAATTCAGTTTCACTGAAGTTACAGTAGTGTTTGTAAATATGAGTTTTAAAATTTAAGTTACAAATATTAAAGCACTGAAAAACTAGTATAAAAGTGAATTTTGGCACGTAAGTGAGCTCTTATGTCATTAGTATTTGACAACCTGGGACAATGTAGAAGTCACATCTCACCTACTTTTTGAGGTACAGCGATCCAACTAGTCAGCAACATGGCTGAATACTTAATAGTTTACAATCTTTGAGTTGAACTTTTCCCTTTTGAAAAAAAAGCCCAAAGAGCAACCCCGAGCTTATTACTGTGCAAAAATTCTCCAACATCCTAATAGAATTTAGGATAGTATTTTTTCTTGCAACCTTTAGGGCCAAGATCCAGGTCCCAGGTCAGATGCCCCCTCGGGCTCAGCAGGGCCTTGGCTGCAGCCCCTTCCTAGGGTGATCCTGTTTTTCTACAATTTCTGTCTCTCCTTCCAATCAAAAACAGAAATATCCCACATCAAAATAAAGATAACCCATAACTTCAGCGACTTCAACATTATCTCACACACTCTGGTGATAAGAACTGAAGCTGCTAACAGGAAAGCCGGCCAAAGCATGCACGCCCAGGGGGACTGCTGCTGTCCCTAGGAACCCACCGCCTCGCTGCCGGTTCTGGCCTCCACTCCTCAGGTGAAAAGCTACAACACAGTGTCACGGCCTTCCTCCGGGGATGGGGACGGCCAAAGGTCCTGCTCCCCAACAGGGAGGAGTCAAGTGGATACTGTCAGTGAAGGTTCCTGAAGGGGCAGTGCAGGGGCAGGCATCCCCCTCCCCCTGCCAGTCCCCAAAGAGCTCACAGGCGCTGCTGCTGCTCTGCCTTCTCACAGGGGCACAGCAAGCACCCCAGGAACGCCCTTTCTCCAACGTGCCCCTCCCATCCCCGAGAAGGCTAAGAAGCCGTGTTTTTTTTTTGTTTTTTTGTTTTTTTTTTGCCTTTTTGGCTTTGATACTTCTTAATGTTTCGACGTTTCAATCACAGTTTCATACGCAAGTTGAGGTAATCTCATCACAGTTTCCCTCTGAGAGAGGAACAGGGAGAGCAGGCAGGTTGGTGAGAGAGCATTTCCCTGGACGCGGGTCGGAGAGCAGACCGACACGCAGCGCAGCGCAGCGCAGCCCACGCGGCGGGAAGGCCTGCTCTCACGGGCAGCTCCGACCCCTCTTTAAAAACTCTTGTGTAGCAGCCAGACTGCCAGGCCAGGGCAGCCAGGAACGGCTTGAGCTCCTAGATTGAGAGCTTTCATTTAAAACTTCCCTACCCGCTTGGAGGAAATGGCCTGCGGTTCCCACCCCCACCCTCCCCGCCCCCAACTTCACTTCTCCCTTTTCTAAGGCTGCTCAAGTCTGAGTTTTTAAAAAGAGCTCACAGAGCTGAAGGAAGCTACAGTAACTCACTGCTTATGAATCAATTGCACTTAAGATCTACGCTACTGACTCTGAGGCAGAGGCAGCCGCTTTGTGGAGCCGGGCCCCTGGCCAGCCAGAAACCAGGGACTCCCAAAGAGGCCTCGGAGCGGAGTCTGGAGCGCGTGGGCTTTTCAAGGAAGCCTTCCGAGGTGCAAGGCTTCTTCATCTACCGTACTTCGAGTTTTGCTCATTTGGCTTCAAATACAAATTGCTTTTTTCTGATACAAGTATGTTTTACTGACAAGCCCTTGGCACTGCACTGCTACTGGCGTGCAGGCCACATGTGCTCCAGCCTGGCTCTCCTCTGTGCCAGGGGCCTTTCTCAGAACCCCTTCTACATTACTGGACAATTTGCTGGTTTCACCTATGTGCTTCTTCCTAAGGCATGCAAAATAATACGTGAAACTCAGAAACGCTGGCAATGCAGGCGGCTGAGGCGCTGAAGTCCTAGCAGACATCACCTAAACACCAGGGCCTGGGACCCCATCCTGCACACACTGATCATGAAGGCTACACACGGGCCACACTTGAGTTCCCCTCTGCTCCAGGGGTGAGCTAGGAACAAAGTCACTGGAAGGAATTCCGACTTCAGAGTCAAAATTCTCTGAAATCCTGGTCCTCAGGAGCCAAATAAGACCAGGGCCAGCAACAACGCTTTGGGGAGGGGGGCACGAGTCTCCTGAAGTTTGTGGCTGAAAAGCAGGCCTTGTTTGGTGAGGCTGGAGCTGGAGACTGACACCCACAAGTGACCAGGCCCCTCCACAGTGAGGCGATGCGTGCCGGCGGGGCCTGGGCCATAGGGTTGTTCTTGTGCCTGATTAGGAAAACACGAGTGATAACAGAAGACAGCTCCAGAACCACCACGGGGGACTGCTTGTGTCAACTGGAGAGCCACACACGTCTGAGCAGCCATGTGCTTCCCCTCAGTTCAGGCTGCCAGGGAAATCCCTCCTGCATCTCAGAACAGGCTGCCAGCCTCAGCCCCAGCTGCTGGCTCTGTGGGCAGGGCTTGTGCTGCCCCGCTCAGCACCAGGCCGAGGCGGCCAGCTCCTTGAATGGAAGGGGTCTCAGCAGGGAAGGCAGGTACCCCACTAGTGACGAGGGATTTCCCATGGCAGCATTTGGAGACTGGGGCCAGGGGTGGCCTGGGCCCCCCACAGCCAGGGTTCCTTCTAACTCCCAGCAGCTCCTCAGTACGGGCCAAATGCTCTCCTGCCCTCACACAGTGCCTCCACAGCCACAAGGAGGCACTGTTAGAGAGAGCCGGGGTCCCGGACTGCCAGCCGCATACACAGGCAGTCCCTAGCTGCTCTTCCTTGAGGACCCCCGCCCCCTCCCCCCCGGGGGCAGGTGATGCTCTTCAGCGCTGTAGAGAGAGGACAGAAAACACACACTCAAGCCAGCACGCACAGGCCGAGAGAACAAAGACAGCCCTTCCAGGCAGGGCCTCCAGGAGAGCCGGGTCAGGTTTCCCTGGTGGACTTGCTGCAGGACTATGGGCCCAGCCTCCCTCTAGAGCTTCTGCTCAAAGAGGTCGTGATACTCCTGCTGCTCCAGCTCGCGGTTATACTTCTCGATTTCCCGGTTGGCTTCTTCCACATAGTCATTCATGAACTGGTCCATGACTGGTAACTCATTAAGGAAGGAAGCCCTGAGCCTGGAGGAGGAGGCAGAAGAGGCCTGCTGGGTCCCAAGGGACCTGTGGGTGGGTGAGTAGTGGGACATCCAGGCACCTGATAGGCTCTTTTATCTCTTGGCAACATTAGAGCTGCAAAGAATGCAAAGGGTGTTGGTGTTGAACCGTAATGAAGTCACAGAACTGAGCCCTGCAGCTGTCCTTAGCACACAGCAGAGCGCCAAGTCTTACACTGTCCTATCCATCTTTTCACAGATTAACTTTGTCTCCAACTTGTAAATCGTAACCTCAGTGACCACAGAAATCAGGGTGCTACCATAGCTGCATTCAAACTATGACCCACAGAATCACAATAAAGGGAGAGTAGATTTTAACAACTCTCAAAGGTCAAAATGGGGACAGGTGGCCGGCACCGCAGCTCACTAGGCTAATCCTCCACCTAGCGGCGCCAGCACACAGGGTTCTAGCCCCGATCGGGGCACCGGATTCTTTCCCGGTTGCCCCTCTTCCAGGCCAGCTCTCTGCTGTGGCCCGGGAAGGCAGTGGAGGATGGCCCAAGTGCTTGGGCCCTGCACCCCATGGGAGACCAGGAGAAGCACCTGGCTCCTGCCTTTGGATCAGCGCGGTGCGCTGGCCACAACGCACCAGCCATGGCAGCCATTGGAGGGTGAACCAACGGCAAAAGGAAGACCTTTCTCTCTGTCTCTCTCACTATCCACTCTGCCTGTCAACACTTGAAAAAAACAATGCTGGGGACGGGCATTTGGCTCAATTTGCCCACAACCAATACTGTGCCTGTTTCAAACCCTGACGTTTTGTTTCAGATCCAGCTTCCTGCTAATGTGCACCCTGGGAGGCGGCAGGTGATGGCTCAAGTACTTGGGTCCCTGCCACCCATGTGGGAGACTGGGATGGAGTTCCAGGCTTCTGGCTTCAGCCGGGCCTGCCCTGGCTGTTGTGGACATTTGGGGAGTGAACCAGTGGCTCTAAGTTCTCTCTCTGCATTTTAAATAAAATGAAAAAAATTTTTTTAAAAATTTAAGAAAAGGTCAAAATAAAAAGTTCATCCCTATGGTTTGATTCTGTGTTTCCAGCCGTAGCCCACTCCAGGGCTCAGCAGCCTACTTCACACATAGGATTCCACACCCCTACACATTCCACAGAGGGACCAAGCTCTTCCAAGGATACGTGGGTGAAAGTCAGTCTTGTCACCAAAGAAGTTAACAAACTGGGTGCCATTATAGAAGTAGCCCGCAGGCAGGGGGTCCAGATGGCGTTTCACCTGCAGGGAGAGAGTCCTGTGAGAATTACCCAGCCACTTCCTATCATTCACGGAGTCATTAAAAACAAATAAACAAGCCTATTTACCTGAGCGAAAGAGCCTACTCTACCATGTAAGATGAGCCAGGGAATTAACACCTCCCAGCAACCCTCAAGACATTCGCCCTGGGCGTCCCAGGGCCCTGGGCGAGGAGTTCCACGTGGAATTAAGCTTGCGCTGCTCTCAACACACCTTTATTGGCTCTGTTCCCTTCGCTCCCCTCCTTCCTATTCAGTGTCTCCTAGAATCACTTCCAAAATAAACCACGCGTCCTCACACCCTTGTCTGAGGTCTGCTTCTAGAGGAACATGCACCCTCTCCTCCCCAGGGCACCCACGCTTGTCTCAGATGGATAGGAGTGCTCTCTTGCTCCACCTGTTCTTTACTGGGACTCATGACACAGCCCAGCCTGGGGCCAGGACTCTGTTCCTTTTAGCCTTCTGCCCTCGAGCTCCTCAGGAAAAGGCCCCGGAGGGCTTGGGAAGGCTCATCAAGGGCCTCTCATGCTGGCTTCAGGATTCCACAACCTTCCCCTTAGCAGTTCTGGATCTAGTTTTTCCCTGGGCCCTGGTTGGTTACCTTGGACAGAGGTCTTCTGTGTTTCTTGGACAGGGTGACCATACAGGGCCTCCTATCACCTGCTCCTCCCTCTGATGCTGGCTCTCCTCAAGTTTATGCGCAGGCCACACCTGAGGATGCCTGCCCTCTCCTCACTGACACTCTGGGCTGGGACTCTTTATCTGCCCTACAGGCAGCTCCCTAGGCCAGGGAATCCAGAAGACACAGCTCTCTGCACAAGCCTGGAAGGGCAGTCTAGGCCACAGGCCAGGGCTGCAGACTCACGTGGATGTTCTTGATCTCCTGCTGGGTCAGCATTCCTCTGGTCTTCAGGGCTTTCCTCTGAGGCTTCTGTGTAGAGATGCAGGGAGGGGTCAGGTTGCAGCAGAGCTAACAGTACATGGTGGGCCAGGGCTCATGGCGCTCGATCAGTTACCCAACTAAGACCCTGGTGGAAGGGAAGGTACACGGGCTGTCCTGGTCTGGACATGGTATCCTGCCAATGTGTCTCTTGAGAAAACGACTTTCTTGCTCTAGAGCCTAGTGAGTCAGCAGGAGGCAAGCGGCAGAGGAGGGCCGAGGGCTTTTGCAAACAGGCATGGTCTTTGCAGATTCTCATGCCCAGGCCCTGCCAATGGCAGACATAGACAAAGGACAGCCTGAGGTCCCACGGTCCAGTACCATCTGGCAGCTTCTCCAGGTGAAGCAGCCCATATCTCAGTAGAACCAAAGGTTCCCAACTGAGCATCTATAAAAGATCCAGCCCTAGCCAACGTTATTCCCAGAGTTCTAGGATAAGCTAAGCCGCTGTGCTTAGAGGTTGTGCCAAGAGGCTTAGCTCCCATAGTACACAGAGAACCTGGGCCCACAGGGGAGATAACAGGCCCTGTTACCCTGGTGTTTGCCCTGAATACCTTCCCCCCACTCTCAAAGTTCCCTCAAAGTGCTGCTGGTGGAGTCCATGAGGGGTAACCCAATGGGGAAGCATCAGGAGGCAGAAGATGGGGCTTCTCAGAGCCAGTGGGAGCCCCAAGGTGTGGTCGTATCTGGCAGGTTTGCCTGGGCATCAAAAACCACCTGCTTAGCTGATTGCCGCAACCAGTCCTTGATGCTGTCTTCCTTCAGGGAGCAGCCGATGAACACAAGGTAGCACTCCTGCTGCCCACTGCTGTCTTGAGGTGTGTTTCTGGGGTCAGGTGGTGGCGTGGGTCCCTCTAAAACCGGCACGATGCTCAAGGAATTGGCCAGGGTGTTGTGGCAGACCTCCATGACCCTCTCAGAGTCTGTAAGGAGACCACACTCATAGAGACCCTGTCTTAGAAGGGTAAAGTTACCGTGACTGTAACAACGCAGATGACTGGGAGGATTCATGGGAAAACTCAGGGAAGCAGCAGAGCTGACACCTGCTGGCCGGGCTGGGGTTTCCCGCTGTGACAGCTGAAGGTGCCCTGACAGCATGCTCACCTCATCTGACCTCCAGGCGCCAGCCACAGTAACCCCTTTTGGGTTCCTGGAATGCGCCGCTTTTGCCTCGGGACCACTGCAAAGGCTGCTCCTTTCCCTGAAATAGTCTTGCCTTCCTCCATGCTAAGCTGATGAACTCTTACCTGATTTGAGGCCATCCCAGACTCCCAGCCCTGACAGACTGTTAGGGGGCGAGAGCTCCAGAGGTCTCAGGCCTACTGGACAGCAGGGAGAAGGCAAGTAGAAAGCCTTAAGACTCTAGTCAGAAATGGATCTGGAGCTGGGCATGGGGTAGCTCCTGGTGACAGGTCTAGGAAAAGGCGACAGATGGCCAAGATGGGTGGGGTGTGAGTCTGGAACACAGACATCAAGGAGCAGGCCATCCGGCGGAAGAGGACAGATTCTCCCTATGCAGCATGAGGACATGGTGAGAGTAGTCAGGGCGACAGGTGTGTCCAAGAGCCTGACGGTGTGAGGCCCAGAGGGGAGGGTGTCTCAGTCTGGGAGGCACTGGTGGTCTGCAAGACACCAGCAGGGGCTACGAACTCACATTATGAGAGGTGAGCCCTCCATGATTTATGACTTCCAAACCCAACCCCCAGTTACCTGAAAACTTCACTTTGCCCAGGATGTGGTAGATGTTTCCAGAGAAGGGACTTGGCTTGATGGAGGACTGAATTGCTGGTGGAGGAAGAAGACAGGGCTGTCACCTATCTGGGGGCAAGGCCAAGTTCAAGGCAGCACAGCTGGGAGGTTTAGGGACGGGGCAGAGACCTTAATTCACTTTCTGGGGTTCACAGCTAATACCCGTCTCCCCTGACATGCTCCCCAGTGGTTCTGCCATGGTTGCCAGGGGTGGGAAAATTCTTACAATGGAATGGCGATCAAATCATGCGGTCACCCATCGGGAGAATCCTGAGTCCTTACATCCCTCTGCCTGCTTTTGGTCCAAATGGTGAGGAGACTGCACACAGAATACTGAAGTGGGGCTGGGGGCGGGACACCTCTGTGCTCTTTGGCCAGGGTCTGGGACCCACCCTAGCTCACCTTTACACTTGGCTATAAAGCGAGTCTTCTCCAGGGGACGGCCGAACCATACACAGATCTGAACCATCAGTGGAAAGACTGATCCGGCATCAAATTTACCTTCATACCTTAAAAGTTTTAAAATATTATGAGTATAAATGAATGAGGTTTGGGTATTATTATATATTACTTTGGGATGAACTACGTATCATTTATTATATCTTAATTCCTCCTTCACAACTTGTATGTCACTTTACATATAAAACACTTAGGATCCCCTCCCATTCCCTCAGGGCTCCAACCACACCCCACCATCACACTGCGGGCAGCTGACCAGACTGGACATCTGCATGCAGACACCCTCTCCAGAGGGAACCGGAGGGCTGGGACACCTCTGCTCTATTTTCTCAGCTTCCAGTGCAGCACACATCCTGCCTGCCACAGACTCCTTCAGAACATGGTCATGTTCAAGAGCATTCCAGAAAAGTAACTTTCTATTATGGAAAATTTCACACATATGTCAAGGTAGATAGATGAGTCTATTACCTGGCTTCCACAGTTATGGGACTGTCATTCTCTCTCTTTTTTTTAAAATACTTATTTAAAAGTATTTTTACTGCAGGAAACAGTATAACCATCTTACATGTAATAATTTACACTACCCGGTTGCACATGACTATGCCAGTTTCATAATTTCTCCACCAATGAATATCACAGGTATTTTTGGCTGAATGTAATAAGTGTCAATCAAAAGGACAGAGTTGCCATTTTACATTTCTGATTATTACTGACATTTAATTATGTTTCCGCCGGCGCCGTGGCTCAATAGGCTAATCCTCCACCTTGCGGCGCCGGCACACCGGGTTCTAGTCCCGGTCGGGGCGCCGGATTCTGTCCCGGTTGCCCCTCTTCCAGGCCAGCTCTCTGCTATGGCCAGGGAGTGCAGTGGAGGATGGCCCAGGTGCTTGGGCCCTGCACCCCATGGGAGACCAGGAAAAGCACCTGGATCCTGGCTCCTGCCATCGGATCAGCGCGGTGCGCCGGCTGCAGCGGCGGCCATTGGAGGGTGAACCAACGGCAAAGGAAGACCTTTCTCTCTCTGTCTCTCTCTCTCACTGTCCACTCTGCCTATCAAAAATAAAAAATAAAAAAAAAATAAAAATAAAAAAATTATGTTTCCATGCTGCTAATCATACTTGCTCTTAAGTGAACTATCCACATCTATTTGGACTCAGTTATTTCTCTTAATTCTTTAACCAAGCATCCCAAACATTGTGTTAACCCTCTGATGAAGTATTTTCCTCCAGGCTATTGTATTTTCTTATTGGAGTCCTTTATTATAAAACAGCATTGTAGTTTTGAACTTTATATTATTTAAAGTACCTTATTCTTTAAGATTTCTTTAAAGTGAGGAGGTAGTATTAAGCCCTCTACAAGACCTTATCCCCATCCAAACAAGTCATTTGTAGACTGTGGGCTTCTCTGGCTACTTTGGTGTCTGAATCCTTAGGGAAACTTGGAACCTGCTTTCTCTGGATCAGGTACGTCCAGGCCCTGAGTTAAGTTCCATGCACTACGCCCAGCGTGGCTCAGGATGGACTGGAAAACGGCTTCTTTAGGTACCAGGTGGTGACTGTAGGAGCCCCAGGGCAGGCCCAGAGGCTCAGGAATCAAGGTCAGTAGCTGCAGCCACTATAGAGAAGCGTTTCTCCCAGAAGTTCCACATGTTTACTGTAGCTAGGCTACAACTGTCTTGTTCAGGCACAAGGAATGATCCACTTACCTACGTTCAACCGAGGTTGATGTGAATCAAATCAGTGATTCCTTCTAAGAATATGCCTAAATATCTTCACTTTTACATACTGAATGTGTGGTGGTTTTGCTATTTTGTTATAGCATAGTACAATCAGTTGTTTGTGCCAACAAAAAGGGATGGTGTGGAGGACATGTAAGTAAGAATGACAAAGATAATCCTGACTCTGGCCAGCTGTTAACAACTGTATTCCCCTACACCTTCAATAGGGTAGGAGTTAACTGTCCAACCTATGCAGGTACAAGTACAGGGATGGTGTGGAGGACGTGTAAGTAAGAATGACAAAGATAATCCTGACTCTGGCCAGCTGTTAACAACTGTATTCCCCTACACCTTCAATAGGGTAGGAGTTAACTGTCCAACCTATGCAGGTACAAGTACAGCACAGTGGTTAAGACAACACGCTCCAGGGCCAGACGGGTGGGGCTTGAAACCCAGCTTTTTCATTTGCAAGTTAGCAACTGGACAAGTCATTTTACCCCTTGCCACCTCAGCTGCCTCAGCTATGAAGTGAGGAGAATCATGGGACCTGCTTCACTGCTCCGTGTAGGGGCTGAGTGAGATAACACAGGCAAAGCTCTTAGCACAGCAGTGCCCAACAGAACTTTCTGTGATGATGGAAATGTTTTAGAATGATGACGCCCAATACAGCAGCTGCCAGCCACAGGTAGCTATGGAGCACTGGAAATGTGGGTGTGTGACTGAAATAACGAATTCTAAATTTTGCTTTTCATTATTTTTCACTTGTATTACATTAGACAGCCACTTGGCTCAGCTTGCAGAGCGAATGTCAGGACAATGGCCAGCACACACAGGTGCTGCTGGTGCTGGTGTGAGTGCAGGGTGCACAGCACACTCTCCTTCTGCTGCCCTCAGTCCCTGAGAAACAGAATGCTCCCTAGGCCCCCTCAGTAGGAAACTCACCTGTCAGGGGGCCCAGAGGATTGTGTGCCCATGTTCTCAGGATGACTTTCTCACGTGGGAAGGTCAGAAACCCCTAACTCCAGCCACACCACCCTCACTAACGGCCACAGGAAGCACAGGATTCCACTTGGCACCTACAGGGGAACTCCCTAAATCTCAGTATCTGGGAAGGCTCCCAATTTGAAGCCCAAGGGCTGGAGCACTAGGTTCCTGGCAATGCCAGCAGCCTCAGGGACGTGACAGGTTGCCCGCTGCCATGTGTCATCCTTGTACAGTGATCTGATATTTGCACTTTCTCCCCCACCCCCATAAATAAATAAATCATTGGATTTACAAAGAAATTTTAGCTACTTTTCAAAGATGATACTTACCAGCCAGGGTATGTTAAATATCGAGAACGTAGCATCTGAGGACTTGAAAAACTATTTTCTGAGAGAATCAGCTCAATGTCTTCATTCCTTTGAAAACACACAGAAGAGACACAGCTTGATCCGGGCTGTCAAATCTGAATCTGTACACTTTACTTCCTCCCCACACTCCCATACACACACACAAGCATTCATGTATGCATTTATTTTTTCCTGTCAAACCACTTTGTTAGTTGTAGGCATCATGAGCTTTCACTCTTAAATACTCTAGTATGCATCTCTTACAGAACCACAATCCTGTTATCATATCCAAAGAATTTAACAGCAGCACTGGTACCACCTTGGAGCTTGTTAGAAAAGCAGAATTTTGGGGGCCGGCACTGTGGCACGGTGGGGTAAGCTGCCATTTGTGATGGTGGCACCTCATATTGGAGTACCAGTGAGAGCCCTGGCTGCTCTGCTTCTGACCCAGTTCCCTGCTAACACACCTGGGGAGCTGCAGATGATGCCTCAAGTACTTGGACACCTACTACTCCCGTAGGAGACTTGGATGGAGTTCCAGGCTCTGGGTTTTGGCTTAGCCCAACCCTGGCCATTGTGGCCATGTGGGGAATGAACCAGCGGAGGGACCATCTCTCTGTCTCTCCCTCTCTCTCTGTAGCTCTGCTTTTAAACAAAGAAATATATTTTGTCCTTTTTTCTTTTGGTTTTTAGTTTTTTTTTAAAAAGCTAGTTCTTTTAAAAAAAGAAAAAAACAAACAAATAGAAAAAGAAAGAAATGAAGAATCTTAGGCCCAACCTCAGTTCTACTAAATCAGAAACAAATTTTCACAAGATCTTCAAGAGATGGGTTGCCAGCATCACAGATGGCGGCTCAACCTGCTATACAACAATGCCAGCCTTGGCACACATAAGAAGCCCACATCCAGGGCTGGCGCTGTGGCGGAGCGGGTAAAGCTGCTGCCTGCAGTGCCGGCATCCCATATGGGTGCCGGTTCGAGTCTCGGCTGCTCCACTTCCAATCCAGCTCTTTGCTATGGCCTGGGAAAGCAGTAGAAAATGGCCCAAAGCCTTGGGCCCCTGCACTCCCGTGGGAGACCCATTAGAAACTCCTGGCTCCTGGCCGGCGCCGCAGCTCACTAGGCTAATCCTCCATCTGCGGTGCCAGCACCCCGGGTTCTAGTCCTGGTTGGGGCGCCGGATTCTGTCCCGGTTGCTCCTCTTCCAGTCCAGCTCTCTGCTGTGGCCCAGGAGGGCAGTGGAGGATGGCCCAAGTCATTGGGCCCTGCACCCACATGGGAGACCAGGAGAAGCACCTGGCTCCTGACTTAGGATCAGTACAACACGCTGGCGCAACGCGCTGGCCGTAGCGGCCACTTGGGGGGTGAACCAACAGAAGGAAGACCTTTCTCTCTGTTTCTCTCTCTCTGTCTAACTCTGCCTGTCAAAAAAAGAAAAAGAAAGAAAGAAAGAAAGAAAGAAAGAAAAACAAAGAAAAAAGAAAATGAAACTCCTGACTCCTGGCTTGGATCGGCCCAGCTCTGGCTGTTGTGGCCATTTAGGGAATGAATGAACAAGCGGATGGAAGACTTCTCTCTCTACCTTTCAAATAAATAAATTAATTAAAAAAAAAAAAAAAAAGCAACAGCCCACATCCCATATCAGAGTGCCTGGGCTGTAGCCTCAGCTCTGCTTCCAATTCCAGCTTCCTGCTCACGTGTACTCTGGGAGGTAGCATGCGATGGATCCAGTTCTTGGGTCCTTGCCATCCACATGGAGACCTGGACTGCATTCTGGGCTCCTGGCATTGGCCTGGCCCAACCCTGGTTGTTGCAGGCACTTAAGGCAGTGAGCCAGCAGATAGGAGAGATTTCTCTCTGACTTTCAAATAAAATTAGAAAAAAAAATTTTTTTCATGGAAAATGGAATTAAAAGACAAGTTTATTTTTAAAACTGGTGGGTAAACACTGATCTAATATACACTCATTTTCCATTTTTCTCTTTTTGGGGAAAAGGGGGTTCATAACGCAATCAAAGATTACTCACCAAATTTACAATCTTTAGTCTCCTTTAACTAGAACAGTTCCTCTACCTTTTCACTTGTTTCCATAGTACTGATATTTTTCTCAAGTACATGCCAGCTGTCTTGTGACCCACACTTGGATTTGTCTGATTGTTTTCTTAACAATGAGAGTAGATTTAGGCTAAGCATTTTTTGTGAAGATTAACACCTACGAGATGTTAAGTTCTTCTCACATTCTCATATGGAGAAGGCACATGGTATCAGTGTCTGGTCTTGCTAAGTTTAATCATTTGGTGAGCACAGTGCCTACCAGAGCTCTCCAACGTGAAGTTACTTTTCCCTCTGCATAAGTAGTCTATGGAATGACCAGTGAATGAACAGTCTTTCCTGCTGTTACTGGTGATCCTTCCCTAAGACCTGTATTAAACTGAAGGCTATGGGGTGGGCAGTATAGCTGCAGGCAGGTTAAGCCGTCGCTTAGGACTCTCATATCCTGCTTCAGAGTGTCTGGGTTCAAGTCCTGCCTTCACTTCCTTTTTTTATTTTTATTTTTTTACTTTTTTATTTGACAGAGTTAGACAGTGAGAAAGAGACAGAGAGAAAGGTCTTCCTTCCGTTGATTCACTCCCTAAATGGTCGCCACGGCTGGAGCTACGCCGATCCAAGCCAGGAGCCAGGTGCTTCTTCCTGGTCTCCCATGCGGGTACAGGGGCCCAAGCACTTGGGCCATCCTCCACTGCATTCCCAGGCCACAGCAGAGAGCTGGACTGGAAGAGGGGCAACCAGGACTAGAACCAAGTGCCCATATGGGATCGGTGGAGGATTAACCAAGTGAGCCACGGCGCTGGCCCCCTGCCTTCACTTCCAACCCACTTCCTAATAATGGGCAGCAGATGATGCTTTAAGTACTTGAGCTCCTGCCACTCACACAGGAGACCTGGATGAATTCCTAGCTCCTGGCTTGAGCCTGGTCCAGCCAGGGCTACTGTGGGCATTTGGGGAGTAAAAGCTCTCTCTGTGTCACTCTTTCAAATCAATGAAAATAAACTTTTTTTACAAACTGAAAGTTGGAGTAGACATTGTGGTGCATTGTGTTAAGCTGCCTCCTGGGATGCCCATATCCTATACTGGAGTGCTGAGTTGAGTCTTGGCTCTTCAGTTTCTAAACTAGCTTCCTGCTAATGTGTCTGGGAAGGCAGTAGATAATGGCCTTGAGCCCTGACATCCACTTGGGAAACCTAGAAGGAGTCACACACCCCTGCCCCAATCAGTGTTCTTTTTTATGCTAAAATTGTCTCAATTTGACCAGTACAAGCTTAAGCTAGTGCCTATACACGCCCCCCCCCCCCTTTTTTTAAAGATTTATTTATGTATTTGAAAGGCAGAGTTAGAGAGAGAGGGAGAGAGATATTCCATTTGCTGGTTCATTCTCCAAATGGCTGCAATGGCTGGAGCTGGGCTGATCCAAAGCCAGGAGCCAGGAACCGGGAGCTTCTTCTGGGTCTCTCATGTAGGTGCAGGGGCCCAAGGACTTGCACCATCTTCTACTGCTTTCCCAGGCCACAGCAGAGAGTTGGATCAGAAGTGGAGCAGCCAGGTCTCAAACTGGCACCCATATGGGATGCCGGCAATGCAGGTGGAGGCTTTACCCACTACACCTTGGAGTCAGGCCCTTCCTATACCCTTTTTAATAGACCTCCACTAATATTTGAGTGCTTCTTGGCTTTATGGGTATAAAATGGACCAGGCTCATCTTCTCCTTTCCTTGCTATAGACATACAATCAACTAATTCTTCAAGGAATCTGAATACCTTGTAGTAGAGATTGGTACTTAGAAACCAAGACCTTGAAGTAGGAGGGTTTACTGCTACTGTGGTATTATTATTCTGGTTCTTTTCAGTGCAAAGATCTAGGACACATACATTTACATGAAAAAAAGAATTTATACTGAGTCCCCAGTTCAAACCAACATTTGAACAGTTTTTCCTCATGTTCCTAATTTCTCATTTATAATCTCCTTTTGCCCATCAATGGTGTTGTCTGCAATCAGACTGCCAACAGATGAGTATGTTCCAAAGCTACATGAATTAATTACTTCTTTGTACCACTTCTTGGCCTTTTGGTTAAGATCAAGCCTAATTACTTCTTTGTGAGCAGTTATTATTTTAGTATACATATAGATTCTCTCCTTGGTAACTTAATTTTTGAATATGTAAAAACATTGTGAGTTCAAAACTATACGAAAATACAGTTCTTAGTATCCTAACTGAGCAAGCAAAATCACCCATGGCCAGGTATTTTCATTTCATACATATGCACATTCAAAATCACTAATTCTCTATTTTTAGTTTATAATTTTGACTGAAATCCATGAGTAAAGAGATAATTTCTCTGCATTCTCTATGCAATTTCTCTCACATACTAACATAAAGAAACACTGAGAGAACCTTGATGTTCACATTCCATGAAGGAGGATGTGAATACTCAAGACAAAATGCCTTAAAACATTACAGGACGCTGACACATGGGATCTCCCTGGTGATTTTTACAGTGCATCCAAAGCATTTCAAACTGATTTCTATAAATAAGTGCTCAGGTCCACCGAGTGGGAAGACCCCCAGCCGGAGCTGTGTCCGAGAAAGGCGCTGGTCCCATGGGGCGAAGTCCGGATTGGTTTACCTGGTGACAATCCCGTTCTCCGCGAGAATGAAGGCTGCAGTAGGATTGGCAGCCCTGATGAGGCTCTGCAGCTGAACAAGGACAGGGTGCCTCTGCTCCACGGTGAGACTGGTGAACACCACGTTGCTCACTAGGCCTGGGGAAGAAAACCGAAACACTTCAGCCTGCAGAGGCCTGACTGCACGGCAGAGTCACACAAGCAGGAGTTCCCTCCTCCGGCCATCCCTTCCAGCAGCCTCCGCCCCAGCACCTCCCTGCCGCCTCATGGGGCCAACGGCTCCAACTCTGCAGCTGCCTCATTTCCTAATCTCTTCCATCTTCCTAATTTCACTCTCTGGCTGATACATGGAATTTCTGAAGAAAGGGCCTTTCTGTATCCCCTGTATTTAACCTCATCAGAACTGGTGCCATTTATCTTCACCGGTTTAGACCAGAGACATTAACCCAGCACTAACCGTATATTAGGCACCATTATACCGGAGTCACACAACTCCAGGACAAATGCTACCATAGATATTCACATAGTGCAAGGATGGAGAACCATTTTTCTATCAATGGCCATTATTTATAACTCATTGCAGGTCATACAAAATCAACAACTTGGGGCCAGCATTGTGGCACAGCAGGTTAAGCTGCTGCCTGCAATGCTGGCATCCCCATGTGGGTACTGGTTCGTGTTCTGGCTGCTCCACTTCTGATCCAGCTCCCTGCTAATGGCCTGGGAAAAGAAGCAGAAGACAGCTCAAGCGCTTAGGCCCCTGCCACCCATGTGGGAGATCAGGAAGAAGTTCCTGGCTCCTGGCTTTATATCACCCAGCTCTAGCCATTGTGGCCATCTGGGGAACGAACCAGTAGATGGAAGATCTCTCTCTTTTCCCCTCTCTCTGTAACTCTTTCAAATAAATAAATAAATCTTTAAAAAATGATCAACTTTAGGCCGGCGCCGCAGCTCACTATGCTAATCCTCCACCTTGCGGCGCCGGCACACCGGGTTCTAGTCCCGGTCGGGGCTCCGGATTCTGTCCTGGTTGCCCCTCTTCCAGGCCAGCTCTCTGCTGTGGCCCGGGAAGGCAGAGGAGGATGGCACAAGTGCTTGGGCCCTGCACCCCATGGAGACCAGGAGAAGCACCTGGCTCCTGCCATCGGATCAGCGTGGTGCGCTGGACGCAGCGCGCTGGCCGTGGTGGCCATTGGAGGGTGAACCAACGGCAAAAGGAAGACCTTTCTCTCGTCTCTCTCTCTCACTGTCTACTCTGCCTGTCAAAAAAAAAAAAAAAAAAAAAAAAGATCAACTTTAAAAAATTAGTCTGCTCTAGAGTTACTGATTTTGGAGTACTACCTGCAGTTGCCTCGGCAGGGACAGACCAAATGATTTCATGGGCCTTGTATTTCACGGCTTGCATGTTCTCCACCCCTGACCTGGTAGCATGGTAAGAAAGGGTGGCCCACGTAAAGGAAGGTTGTGGAGTGGGCTGTAACTACTTTTAACCATTGTGTGAAAATAAAGAAGTAAAATCCACAAAATTATACAGAATCTGGAAGTCAGAAAAGTTACTGTGTCTTATTATCCCAAGATAATGCATCCTCCATACTTATTCCTGTTCTTACATAGCTTTGGCGCACACACACACACACACACACCATTTCTGCTACAAGATCATTTGCATCTTTGGTATTCAATCATCTTTACTCTTAATACCACGGGAAATTTCAAACATACACAATATCATAAAAACAGCATCACCCAGCTTCAAGAATTGTTAGTACCTGGCTAATCACATTTCCTTCATACCACACCACAGCCCTTCTCCTCCTCTTCCACCGGATGATTCTGAAGCCAACCCCAGACATCCAATTACTTCATCCAAAAATATTTCAAGGCAAGTGTTGCGGAGCAGTAGGTTAACCTGTGGCTTGCAATGCTCACTCCCATATGGGAGTGCTGGTCAAGTCTTGGCTGTTCCGCTTCCACTCCAGCTTCCTGCTAATGTGCTTGGGAAGGCAGTAGACGATAGCCCAAGAATCTGGGTTCCTGCCATCCATGTGAGAGACTGAGATGAAGTTCCTGGCTCCTGGCTCTGATCTGGCCCAGCCCTGGCCATTGCATCTGGGGAGTGAACCAGCAGATGGAAGATTTCTCTCTCTTATCATGCCTTCTCTCTAACTCTGACTTTCAAATAAATAAATATTTTAAAAAGAGAGAAATGCCTACATTGTGGCTTAGCAGGTAGTGCTGCCACCTGTAATGTAGGTATCTCGTATGGGTGCTGGTTTGAGTCCCAGCTGCTCCACCTTTGATCCAGCTCCCAGCTAATGTGCCTGGGAAAGCAGCAGAAGATGGCTCAAGTCCCTTGGTACCTGTACCCATATGGGAGACCTGGAAGAAGCTCCTAGCTTTGGCCTGGCCCAGTCCTGGCAGTTGCCAACCATCTGGGGAGTGAACCAGCAGATGGAAGATATCTCTCTCTGATTCTTTCAAATAAATAAATAAATCTTAAAAAAAAAAAAATGACAGATCTTCCATCCACTGATTCACTCCTCAAATGGCTGCAATGGTTAGGGCTGGGCTAGGCCAAAACCAGGGGCTCAAGCACTTGGCCATTCTCCACTGCCTCCCAACCACTTTAGCAAGGAGCTGAATAGGAAGTGGAGCATCTGACACATGAACCAGCACCCATATGGAATGCCAGTGTTATAGGTGGTGACAAACCACTGTACCACAATGTTGGCCTCAATAAGTTAATCTTTTAGAAAAGTGTCTTTGGGGGCTGGCTCTGTGGCTTAGTAGGCTAAGCCTCTGCCTGTGACACCAGCATCCCATATGGGCACCAGTTCATGTCCAGGCTGCTCCACTTTCAATCCAGCTCTTTGTATGGCTTGGGAAAGCAGTAGAAGATGGCCCAAGGCCTTGGGCCCCTGCACCTGCATGGGAGATCCAGAAGAAGCTCCAGGCTCCTTCGGATTGGCCCAGCTCTGGCCGTTGCAGCCATTTGTGGAGTGAACCAGCCGATGGAAGATTTTCTCTCTCTGCCTCTCTGTAACTCTGCCTTTCAAATAAATAAATAAATCTTTTTAAAAAATCCTTGTTTTTGAGCCGGCGCCGCGGCTCACTAGGCTAATCCTCCGCCTAGCGGCGCCGGCACACCGGGTTCTAGTCCCGGTCGGGGCACCGGATTCTGTCCCGGTTGCCCCTCTTCCAGGCCAGCCCTCTGCTGTGGCCAGGGAGTGCAGTGGAGGATGGCCCAGGTGCTTGGGCCCTGCACCCCATGGGAGACCAGGAAAAAGCACCTGGCTCCTGGCTCCTGCCATCGGATCAGCGCGGTGCGCCGGCCGCAGCGCGCCGGCCGCGGCGGCCATTGGAGGGTGAACCAACGGCAAAGGAAGACCTTTCTCTCTGTCTCTCTCTCTCACTGTCCACTCTGCCTGTCAAAAAAATAAAAAAAAATAAAAAAAATAAATAAATAAAAAATCCTTGTTTTTAACTTCTTAGGTTGCAAATTTAATTATTAAAAATTACTTGTGGTTTAGTAACATGTTAACTTCTTAAAATAATGAGCTCTCATTTATTAAGTCCTACTCTGCACCAACACTTTTTTCTTTAGGCTTATATATGTATTTGAAAGGCAAAGTGACAACCCAGAAGGGAAGACAGATGGAGAAGAGAGAGAATGAGAATGAACTGATCTTCTACCCACTGGTTCACTCCCTAAATGCTCATGACAGTCAGGGCTAGGCGGAGCCAAATTCAGGAAGTCCATCTGGGTCTCCCTTGTGCTGAGGTGACACCTTCTTCAACAGAATGCAGGGGCTGAGGTACCTGAGGCTTGGCCATCTCAACCAGCAGGAAGCCAAGTCATATCATTCCCACCAGCCAAGACTGCTAAGTTCACAGTTTAGAAAAATGGCCATAAACAGTTGGAAGGCAACTTTAGAAACCTGGTCTCCTGCCTCTTGGGTGAGGCAGATGTTAGGGTAACTTCCTTCCTTTTGCCAATAACATTTATAAAAAAGTGTCCCAAAACTCTAAAGACCTTATCTAACTTCACAAATCCATCTGGATGCAATCTATCCCAGAACGGAGAATAGGGATTGCAAGGGCTTATACCATCTGTCACCAACAATGAGGAAAGTGTCCACACAAAGTCTATACCACGTGCCTGGGACCAAAGACCCTCAGAACTAGGCTTGCTTGCTGAGTATAGGAGCTGCTTCCTCAGTGCTCATGGACCTTTTTGGATCTCTCCATTCCTTGGTTCAGACATCAGAACCACCCTTCGGCATCTGTGCTCTACAGCTATTACATTGCCAACCTTAGGGAAATACAGTCTGTTTGCCTATGAACAGTATTTCAGAGATCTCTAAGGCTTCAAAAAAGTGTGTTTCCTAAGTGGCTTTCACTTGACATCCAAGTGAAGAGTGAGACTCTTCTCTTCTTTTCGTCACTTGCTCAAGAGCACACTTGACTGTGCAGCTCCCCAATCCTGGGCAGGGAGGCACCGAGTGCTCCTCTGCTACGCAGCACCCTTCTCCCAGCGAGGCCTGGTGGGTGCTAACAGCTACTGATTCATCCTCCACTCTAAGTCCCTAGGACCGTTCACCTGCTTCAGACCACTGCTCTCTTCATGTGGCCCCTGCCCAGTCTCTCTACTCAGGCTTCCTCCTCCCCCGCCAAAGATTTATTTTATTTATTTGAAAAAGAGTTAGAAAGAGAAAGAGAAAGAGAAAGAGAAAGAGAAAGAGAAAGAGAGAAAGAGAGAAAGAGAGAGAGAGGTCTTCCATCTGCTGGTTCACTCCCCAAATGACTGCAATGGCCAGAGCTGAGCTGATCCAAAGCCAGGAGCCAGGAGCTTCTTCTGGGTCTCCCACGTGGGTGCAGGGGCCCAAGGACTTGGGCCATCTTCCACTGCCTTCCCAGGCCATAAAAGACAGAAGTGGAGCAGCCAGGACTCAAACCAGCGCCCATATGGGATGCTGACACTGCAGGCGGAGGCTTTATCTGCTATGCTACTGCGCCGGCCTCATCCAGGCTTCCTTTTCCACAATTCATTTTTCCCATTGTGGTCAGAGTAATCTTTCAAAAACAAAAATCTGATCATGTAATTTTCCTGCTTAAATTATTCCAATGGGCTCCAACTACTGCTGGCTACTACCAAACCATTCCGTTTGTGTAATCTATCCACTGTGCCGTGCCTCCTCTGCATGCTCTGGTCATCATCAAGCCTTCGTTTCTGCTGGTCTTTCATTCTTTTGCCTAGAATCACCTTTTCCCTTCTTTTTGTTGAGCCAACTCCTCCTTCAGGGTACAGACAATCTGAATAGCACCTCTTCCAGAAGCTTCCTTAATCCCCTAGGACTGGGTTACAGCAGGCGAGATTTGCTGAATAAATAATGAATGAACCAAGTGTAAAAGACAAACAAGCAACCTGATCTCCAAGACAGCTGTCCAATCAGCCATGCTGGAGGCACTCACATGCAAATTTTCCTCACTAAAAAGTCTGAGCAAATCCCATTTATCAGACATTCATCTGGAAAGGGTTTTTTTTTTTTTTTTTTAAGTATTTATTTATTTATTTGAAGGGTGGAATTACAGAGAGGGAGAGGCAGAGGCAGACAGAAAGAAGTCTTCCATCCTCTGGTTCATTCCCCAAATAGCCACAACAGCCAGAGCTGGGCCAGACTGAAGCCAGGAGTCAGGAGCTTCATCTAAAGTCTCCCATGTGGGTGCAAGCACCAAGCACTGGACCATCTTCTGCTGCTTTCCCAGGTACATTAGCAGGAAGCCGGATGGTAAGTGGAGCAACCAGGACTTGAACCAGTTCTTCACAAGCCTTTTCTGTTTCTAAGCTTCAACATCAAGATGGAGCTTCCTCAGACAGTGTCACAGAAGTCTCCCAAGGAAGGTGACACTAGTGGTACCTGCGCTCTCGCCTCCCATTTAGAGGTCACTCTGGAAGCTACAGGGGAGGCAGCCAAACCAGCCTGATGCCTGTCCCCGTGCCCTGGGACAGGAGTGACTGGGGCCCTCAGAAACTGAAAAAGGAAAGGTCAGGAGGCCGGGCCCACAGTGTGGCACAAGGGGGAAGCAGGCAGGAATCTACAAGGCTCAGCCAGTTCTGGAGATGGCAGACATGATGGCTGGATCCTGCTAGAGGCCCCAGATATTCCCAAGGGAAGAAGACAAGACCCGCATGATGGGTCTTGCAGTGAGGAGCCAGGAAAGACTGAGTTAGGACCTAGAGGCCCTGGGACTCTGTTTGGCTTCTTCTTAGAGAAAAGAAGTGGGAGAGTCTGACTAGTGTAAATGCACCACTGAGTGGTGTGTACCAGTGTCGTGTGCAGGCCTGGGACCTGGATCTCTTACAGACACGCCATGCCCAAAGTCCTGCCCACTGTACCAGTACCATGTAGACAAACCTTGTGGGATGGGATTCTAGGTCAGGAGCTGGGCACAAAGAAGGGGCTTTGCTTTACAAGGAAACGAGCAAGAGGATTATCCCCAGCATTCCTTAAGGCAGCTATGTAAACTGTCACCTGCCAAGAGGAAATGCCATCTGTGAGACAGGTAGTTATGTAGAGCCCAGGGTGAACAGGCCATGGTGAGCGGTTTCACTTTGTTTGGACCAGGAGCGTCCTTTGTTCTGTATCATGGGGCACACACTCAGCTTTGGTCAAGGTCTTCCCAGTCTGAGCTGAGAGTGAGCAAGCAGCCTGGTCTGGCCCACTACCAGGAGAGAGAAACATCACTGCAGTCTCTGACCATTTGGCCTGGCTTACAGATTTCAGAAGCCCAGGAGAAAATGACGTATTATTTATTTATTTTTTATCAGTAGATACTTCTCAAAGCATGCCACAGCAGTAAAATATTTCTACTGTGCTTTCAAACCTTACGATAATAAGCCTTGCTTAAGCACTGAGATTGTTTCCTAGTCCCTGGATTTCTGCAAGACACATCATCTCAGGGCTACAACATAGTCCTTTTCTCATTGGAAAATAATCCTTTGTTGTTAAAAGCAACGAATCAGGGAGCCTGACTCATGAAGGGGCACAAAGGGAGGCAGGACACGCCTGTGGACATGAAGTGTGTGTCTACTGGTGCAGATCCCACCTCTGAGTGAGCCTCGGAATCTCTGAGAACAAGACCTGCCTCTTCTCCCTCCCCAGACAGCCCATGCGATGGCAAGCCGGGTCAGGCCAGGCCTCAGAGAAGTGGGCACAGACCAAGGGAAGATATCTGCCAAGGCACTGCCATTCTGTGAGTCCTTGGAGAAGCTCAGCATCCAGTACAGACGGCCTCATGGTCATCTGCCCAGATGTGATCCCACCCCAGTTTATACTAGCACAGGATTTGGCACACAGTGCCTTTACACAAGGAGCTGAAAGGCAGTGTTCCTGAAATGTGCCCACCAAGTGCTGGAGGCACTGTCTGGGTTGGCTTAAAAGCTTTTATTCAGACTAAAGAGTGGCTTTCCTCTTGGGATATAAGCCAGTGCTGCCCCAGGTTCAAGGACAATAAAGACAGAGCACTCTTCCAAGGTTTTTTGTAAGGGCTGCCTAATGTTGCCCCAGGGTGGTCATAGTCCTGTGATGGACAAGGTGTTGCACCAACATTTACAAGACTATGACAGGGCCTGGGGCTGGACAAGTTAGCAAATCCCAGGTTCAACTACTGGTCACTAGGGTCAATCAGACAAACACTTTCTCAACTTCCCCTGCCTCCAGCTAATGCTCCCAGTGAGAAGCCCTTTGAGTCACCCTTTACTCCTGGGTTTGAGCTCCAGGCCCTCAGGGGCCACCTCTATCAGGTCCAGTATCTCGCTCTAGTCCCTAGGTTTTCTGTTCAGCAAATAAGGAGAAGCAAATCATTTGGAAATAATCCTTGCAAGAATTCCCCTCCAGCTATCATCCTTTTCCTCACAGCCCCAAACATCCCAAAATACCATTCACACTCGCTGGCTTCCAGGACCTCGCAGGCCACCAGTCCACTTGGACGTGGCTTCAGCCCTCACCTCTCCACTCAGTTCCTGCTGAGGTCACCTGCATCCTTCATACTTGCAAAGCCAATAGTTTTTTTATGTTCTTCCTTTGAGGTCTCAACTTCCAGGGTTACAATAAACATCTCTGACCTCATTCTCCTTCCTTGGTCTCTGAGGTAAAGTGCTTTTCTGTTTCTCCTTTTTCAGTCTCTGGCCCTCTGACCTTTCCAACTCCACACCTGGATAGTGGCTGACTATGCTCCATGCCCTTGGCTCTGACCATGACTTCCAAACACGTATCTTACAATCAGACAGTCCTCTTTTGTTGTTTCTTGGACCTAAGTTTTCTCCTATGCTTTCTATTTCAAGGACAGCTCCTCAACTGGAAACCCAGGAGTCACCCTTTTCCAACTCACAGACCCACATCTAACCTGTCACCAAGTCTGATTGCTCCAATCTACAAAATCCCCTTAAATCTACCTGGGATGGACACTGTGGATGGACCCAGTTAGCCTCCATTCCACTTTGCTGCTGGGGCTGCAGTGCCTGGAAAGTAACAGGGTCCTCTAACAGTGAACCGGAGGATTACCTAGTATGGCCATCCAACATACACATTCCTCCCTCCAGGGACTAGCCTCCTGCCCTGGGCAGCACCTAACTCAGCTGTTTCCCAAGACAACAGCTCTGGTACGCTCTGCTGCCTCCGCTCCCTGTGGACTGGCAATGGGACCAGCAGGGCAAAACCGTGCTGGGGACATAAGTTGTTTTCTTCTGTCTGATTTCTGCTTGCTGGGCTGGCTCAGGAAACCCAAGCCCCAGGCATTTCTCCTGACAACAATGAGCATTTCATCACCACTGCAGGGAATTTAGAATGTATTCTGGATTTCTGGGACTCGCAGATAATATGACACAAAGTGCTGCTTCCAGGGTTGCCAGGCAGTAGCACAATGTAACCGCCAGGATGAGTGGGTTTTTCCAAATGTTTTCAAGGAGGTATGGAAAATCCCACTGTGCATAAGGGGGTACCGGGGAAGACAGGTCTTGCTGGGCCAGATGCTTGAGCTCTTGAGACAGGAGGAATGCATCAAGATCTTGCTGATCAGAGGCGAGGGATAGCTATTTGGTCCACTGACATTAGTTGCAAGGCCAGAGCATGACTTAAGAGCAAGAGAGGTGTTGCCATGGCAATTACTGCCAGTAAGAGATAAGTTCTTGGAAGAAATCTATCAAACGTGATAAAACTAAAGATGTCGAGGTTTCCCCTGGACCAGTTTTGGTGGCTTTAGATTTGAGAATGGCACGCAGGAACATGATGAAGTTTGTTGTACTTAAACAGAGCTTGAAACACATGCAAGCAGGAAGTAAAGCATATTGCTTACCTTGTGAACACTGGTCAAGACATTTAGGGAAGAGAAATCTAGGGGGAAAAAAGAGAAATATTTTAAAACCATTCATCTCAGAATTGTCACAAGTTGTTTTCCACAAAAATATAACTATCACCTATATCACAGCAGTAACAGAGTAAGATTCACCATGTGGACTGCTTGCACAGTGCCTGGCCCGCGATGGGGACTCAGGAAGAGGCAGCTTCCCCATTACTGTCAGGCAGTCTTGGCACTCCAACCACCAAAGCTTCTGCGCCACAGAAGTCCCTACATGCTAACTCTTGGGCACTGGGAGAAGGACAGATCTTTAGACTACAGACGGAGAGACAGGGAGAAAGAGAGCTGGTCTTTTCTGAAAGACACACTGTTTTGAGTAAAGGGGAAATTTCAATGGAAAATAAGGATTGCACTTGCCTAACTCTACAAGGGAACTTCAGGACCAAAATTGCTATGCTTCCCTTTATGTGCACACTAAAATCCCAGACCTCTTTAATCTTATTCTTAACTCCAAATGTGAATGAAAAGCAGAAACTGATGAACTGGATTGCAAGTGAAGCAGGAGGTGGGGATGACACATCCAAAGTGTTGAGTTAGTTCACAACTGGAGTCCTGCAGTTAAGCCCCAGAGGAAAGCTCAGATTCTTACAGGGCTTTAAAACTCCTAAGACATCACAGGGCTCCTTTCAGAGAACAAAGCTAACAGTAATGGGGAAAGCTGCCTCTTACTGAGTTCCCATTATGGGTCAGGCACTGTGCAAGCAGTCCACAATAGCGAATCTTACTTTGTCATCCTGTCCACTCCATGCCTTAGGTATATAACAAATGGAAAGAGCAGGTTTAGAAAGGGAAAGCGGGGTAAGCACGTTGCCCCTGTCTCCCATGCAGCTGGGAAGTGGTGGACCTAAGGCAGGGACCTAGGTCCAGCTCCACAGAGCTCCTGTGCCTTCTTCCCCGACATGTGGGATGTTTGCTGATGCCACTCTTCTAAATTGCTGGTGGTCTAGTTAGCAGGTATTAATGCTGTTCAAAACACCAGGGGCGGGGCCGGTGCTGTGTTATAGTGGGTAAAGCTACCACCTGTGGTGCTGGCAACCCTTATGGGAACCAGTTCAAGTCCCAGCTGCGCCACTTCAGATCTGGCTCCCCAATGATGCACTTGGGAAAGCAGTAGAAAACAGCCCACATGCTTGGGCCCTGCACCCATGTGGGAGGCTCGAAGGAAGCTCCTGGCTCTTGGCTTCGGATCTGACCAGCTTCAGCCATTGTGGCCATTTGTTAAAATGCAAAACAAAACAAAACATACCAGGGGAACCTCTCTTGGAATTTACTTGGTGGTAGCAAGTCTTGACTTTTTCTTTTTTTAATAAAGATTTATTTATTTGAAAGGCAGAATTAGAGAGAGAGAGAGAGAGAGAGAGATCTTTAATCTGCTGGTTCACTCCCTAAATGGCCGTTAATGGCCAGAGCAGGCCAGACTGAAGTCAGGAGCCAGGAGCTTCATCTGTCTCCCATATGGGTACAGGGTTCCAAGCACTTGGGTCATCTTCTGCTGTTTTCCCAGGTGCATTAGTAAGGAGCTGGATCAGAAGTGCAGCAGCTAGGAGTTGAACTGGCACTCACATGGGATGCCAGTACCAAAAGGGGAAGCTTAACCCGCTACACCATACCACCAGCTCCTCTTTATGATTCTTAAAAATTACAGGGGCTGGCCCTGTGATGTAGTGGGTAAAGCCACCGCCTGCAGTGCTGGCATCCCAAATGGGTGCTGGTTTAAGTCCCGGCTACTCCACTTCTGATCCAACTCTCTGCTTTGGCCTGGGAAAGCAGTAGAAGATGGCCCAAGTCCTTGAGCCCCTGCTCCGATGTGGGAGACCTGGAAGAAGCTCCTGGCTCCTAGCTTCGGATCAGTGCAGCTCCAGCCATTGTGGTCAACTGGAGAGTGAACCAGCGGATGGAAGACCTCTCTCTCTGACTCTCCTCTCTGCGTAACTCAAATAAACAAATAAATATTTTTTAAAAGTTACATTTATACTTTATTATGACACTCTCTTACATCATGATTAATTGTGTACATGTCATCAGGGTGACACCTGGAAAATTATTTTAACTTTTTGGAGCCTCGGCTCCTTCATGGGAATGTCATGTAATGACACGGTAATATCATAGTAATGATACCTACACCTTATAGGGAATTTTTAAGGATTAGAAGGAGCAAAGCATCAACATGAGATGCTGTTCGCTTCTGTCCTTCTTACAAATCATCCTCTCTACTAAACTGTACTGAAGGGTGCCTAGCACATTCAAGGCCAGTTCTACACCAACAAACACTGAAATACGGATACACTAGTTATTGATGAGCTCTTCCTCTGAATAACAAAAGCAGCTGTGCTACCTACAGAAATTTCAGTTACACAGGTAACATGCATTTTGTACTGTACCGAGTATTCAATTTCTATTAAATTCTAGCCAATCATTAAATAACATTAATCTAATCTATCCCAAAATACAGACCCACAATTCCTACCCATATATCCATGAAAGCGCAGATGCCCCAAAAGCTGATACCTGGGCTGACTTGTTCTTTGCTGTGCCCTCAAAGATGATGACAATCCTGACACACAGTAAACACTGTATAGATACTGAACAAAACCCATCAGTATAAAGTTATAAAATCTCAGGTGGACTTATCCTGATCCCAACTTGAACCCACCTTTCTAGATTAGAGAAGCCACACTGATCCCCACCTCACAGAAAGGAAACACAAACCCTACTATGCTCTACTGCCACCTGTTTTATTATTTTGCTTTTATATATTTATTTATTTGAAAGGCAAAGTGACAGAGAGAGAGGAAGAGACAGAGAAGACAGAGATCTATCTGGTTCATTCCACAAATGCCCACAACAGCCAGAGCTGGGTCAGTTTGCAGCCAGGAGCCAGAATTCCATCTGGGTCCCCTATGTGGGTGGCAGGCCCCTAAGCACTTGAGCTGTCATTTTCTGCTGCCCAGGATGCATTAGCTGGAAGCTGGATACAAAGTGGAGTAGCTGGGACTTCAACTGCTCTCTGATATTCCACTTTTTTTTTTTTTGACAGGCAGAGTGGACAGTGAGAGAGAGACAGAGAGGAAGGTCTTCCTTTGCCGTTGGTTCACCCTCCAATGGCCACCGCGGCCGGCGCGCTGCGGCCGGCACACCGTGCTGATCCGATGGCAGGAGCCAGGTACTTCTCCTGGTCTCCCATGGGGTGCAGGGCCCAAGGACTTGGGCCATCCTCCACTGCACTCCCGAGCCACAGCAGAGAGCTGGACTGGAAGAGGGGCAACCGGGACAGAATCCGGCTCCCCGACTGGGACTAGAACCCGGTGTGCCAGCGCCGCAAGGCGGAGGACTAGCCTAGTGAGCCACGGTGCCAGCCCCACTTGTTTTATTACAAAAACATTATCTAGAAGAAATGATCCATTAAAAAGATATCAACAACACTGAATTAAGAGTTTGAAAAATGTGATTCTCAAAAAAACTTTTAGGGGCAGGTGTTGTGCTACAGTGGGTTAAGCTACCACTTGGGATACCCACATCCCAAGTGGGAGTGCTGGTTCAAGTCCTGGCTGCTCCTCTTCAAATCCAGCTTCCTATAAATTAATCCTGGGAGGTGCAGATGATGGCTCAAATACTTGAGACCCTGCCATTCTTGTGGGAGACCTGGATGGAGCTACTGGCTTAGGCCAGGTCCAGCCCTGGTTGTTGTAGGCATTTGGGAAGTGAACCAGTGCATGGAAGATCTCTGTCCCTCTCTCTGTGTTTCTCTGCCTTTCAAGTAGTTGAAAATGAAAATAAACATTAAAAAAACTTGTCTTATTATAAAAGTAACACACAACTCAAAGCTAGCAGCATATTTAACAGTGCAAGACTGGATGATTTCCTTTCTGATTAGGAACAAGGATGTCTGCTCTTGCTACTTCTACTTAATGTTATACTGGAGACTCCAGTCAGATATATTAGGCAAGAAAAAGACATAAATGGACATCTAGATTGGAAAGAATCAAGTAAAGAGATTTTGGGGCTGGGGCTCTGGCATAGTGGGTAAAGCCACTGCCTGCATATGGGCGCCGGTTCGAATCCCGCCTGCTCCACTGCAAAGGACTCTCTCTGCCTTTGCCTCTCTGTTACTCTGCCATTCAAACAGATAAATAAATATTTTTTTACAAAGATTTATTAATTTATTTGAAATGCAGAGTTACACTGAGAGAGAAGGAGAGGCAGAGATAGAGAGAGGTCTTCCATCCGCTGGTTCACTCCCCAGTAGGCTGCAAAGGCCGGAGCTGTGCCAATACTAAGCCAGGAGCCAGGAGCTTCTTCCAGGTCTCCCACGCAGGCAGAGGGGCCCAAGGACTTGAACCATCCTCCACTGATTTCCCAGGCCATAGCAGAGAGCTGGATTGGAAGTGGACAGCTGGGACTCAAACCGGTGCTCATATGGGGTGCTGGCACTGTGGATGGTGGCTTTACCCGCTATGCCACAGCACTGGCCCCAATAAATAAATCTTAGAAAAAAAAAAAAGTAAAGAGCTTTCTATTTACAGATAACATGGTCTTATGCATAGAAATCTTAAGAAGAAATCTAGGCCGGCGCTGCGGCTCAATAGGTTAATCCTCCGCCTGTGGCACCGGCACACTGGGTTCTACCGGTCGGGGCACCGGATTCTGTCCTGGTTGCCCCTCTTCCAGTCCAGCTCTCTGCTGTGGCCCGGGAGTGCAGTGGAGGATGGCCAAGTGCTTGGGCCCTACACCCGCATGTTAGACCAGGAGAAGCACCTGGCTCCTGCCTTCAGATCAGTGTGGTGCACCCACCGCAGCGCGCTGGCTGCAGTGGCCATTGGAGGGTGAACCAACGGTAAAGGAAGACCTTTCTCTCTGTCTCTCTCTCTCACTGTCCACTCTGCCTGTCAAAAAAAAAAAAAAAAAAAAAGAAGAAGAAATCTACACACACAAAAAAAATACCCAACCAGCACTAATAACTGAGTTCAGTAAAGTTGTAAACTATAAGATCAACACAAAAATCTATTATCTGGGGCCAGTGTTGTGGGACAGCATAGATGGGCCACTGTCTGGAATGCTGGCATCCCATATGGTGGCAGTTTGAGTTCTGGATATCCCATTTCTGATCCAGCACTCTGCTAATGTGCCTGTGAAAGCACCGGAAGATGACTGAAGTACTTGGGCCCCTGATAATCACATGGGAGACCTGGCTCCTGGCTCCGGCCTGGTACTGTACCAGCTGCTGCAGCCATTTGGAGAATAAACCCGCAGATGAAAGATCGCTCCATCTCTCCATCTTTCTGTAGCACTGCCTTTAAACTAAATAAATCTTTAAAAAAAATTACAGGTCCTTAGAGCAACAATGGAAAACCCAAAGATGAAATTAACATAACAATTACATTTATGATAGTATAAAAAAGAATAAAATAGGAATAAATTAAACAAAGGAAGCACAAGATTTATACATTGAAAACTCTAAAACCTTGCTGAAGTACGGGTGTCCTGGCACAGCAGGTTAGGATGCCACTTGGGATGCCGGCATCCCCTGTTGGCAGGTCAGCTGTCCTGAGAAAGAGATATCTGCCATTTTCTGGCACATTCTCCAAATGGCCACAACAGCCAGGTCAGGGTCAGGCTGAAGCCAGAAACCGGGTCTCCATCCTGGTCTCGTACTTGGGTGGCAGGGAACCAAGTACTTGGGCTATCTTCTGATGTCTTACCAGGCACATCAGCGGGAAGCTGGATCAGAAGTTGAGTGCCTGGGACTTGAACTGGATGTGTGATGCCAGCATTGCAAGTAGTGGTTTAATCTACTGTACCTCAATGCTGGCCCCAATAACTCTATCCTTGCTTTTAGTTCTCATAATGTATATATGGGCTAATCATCAGTTTTCCTATAGAGCTTAAGTAAACCACTAGAATAAATTACATTTCAGAAGGGATTTAGAAGTAAATTTGAAAATTTCTCAAAGTCTATTGGGTTAAATATTTTTTGATCACGCTATATGAAACAAATGTGGAAATAAATGTTCTCATAGTTATTACTTATTCCTGAATTTTGTTACTTACATTTTTTTAAAAAAAGTTATTTATTTGAAAGTCAGAATTACAAAGAGGGAGGAGAGGCAGAGAGAGAGAGAGAAAGAGAGAGAAGTCTATCCACTGGTTCACTCCCCAACTGGCCACAACAGCTGGAGCTGCGCTGATCCAAAGCCAGGAGCCAGGAGCTTCTTCTGGATCTCCCATGCAGGTACAAGGTCCTAGGACCTGAGACATCTTCCACTGCTTTCCCAGGCCACAGCAGAGAGTTAGATTGGAAGTGGAGCAGCCGGGACTCGAACCGGCCGGCATTGCAAGTGGTGGCCTTACCTGCTACACCACAGCGCTGGCTGTTACTTACATTTTTATATTCCATAACCACATTCATCCAATTTGTCTTATTTCTATATTTAAGTAGATAATATGCTCATTGTCAATCCTTTTATGTGTTGTTAATTTATTTATCTCTGAACATACTCGGTACACATTTGCTGAAGCATCCATTTATCCAACAGAAATTTATGGAACTCTTTTTTTTTTTTTTT